AGGTCATTCTGACGCGACCCCTAATGGAATGTCCTCAGATCTTTGTTTGGCGGTAGCGAGTACAAAGATTTGATTTTAATGAGATTGCCCTGAGGGACACCAGAAATGGGCTTCACGCATTGCACCCATATGGGGAATCGAACCCGGGCCTTCGGCGAATAAACACACAAGTGCCTCGCTGTATTCCAAACAATCTTTGAGGACATAATATGGTCTACTCCTGCTGCAAATTTAGTTTCAAGTCAAGAAACGGAGACAGAATCCACATGCCTTACCAGAATGGTAGCCGTAATTCTGAAAGAAGAAAAATATCTTACAGCATCGTGCCAAAAGAGAGTAAAGTTGTTTAAATTCCTATATATTTCAAGTAATTACATCTGCATTTGCTGAATTTTCCTGGTTCCGTTTTTCACCAATTTCCCAGACAAAAAAAAGTTACAAGCCGGTTAAAAGAGTTAATTTTGTGACTTTAAACAGTAAAACAAATGCACTCAAGACGAGAAATGTCAATATCGGGTGTTTTAGAAATAGGTAACTTGTTTCGATATCACTATTGTCAAGATTGGTTGTAAAACGTAATGAATTTAATGAATTGCAAATTACGTACGAATTACGCAAATGATTATACATCATGTCACTCATGGGCTTCCATACATTTTTTATTTTATCAAGGAGGGTCCACTTTTCGATATAATTTTTCACATAATTATGTTTCTAATAATTGTAACAATGTTGGATGAATTTATAAAAGACAGGAATATGGTTATCGGTCGTGTTTAACACACATTTCTCTGCTGGTGCAGCCGTAGTTACATAGCAGACGACGCTATACAATTTATGGTTGATGGGCATGTTAGAAGTATATTGGAAGCCAACTGCTATTATTTTCATCATTATTAATTACATTTTTAAATAAATGTGTATTTGTCAACTTACCATAAAATAATACGGCTCCGTCATCGTTGTTTTTTTCTGAATATTTTCCAAGGTACTCGCAGGATCACTACGAATTATCTCCCTTTGCGAGCTCTTCTTGATGTACGGCGGCCCGTAGATGCCCTATTCTCCTCGTTGGTTTTTATCTTTTTTGATGCGGGAATTAACCATTTTCCTGAAGGTTGATTTTGGTAGACTTTTTAATACAAACTCAAATACATTCAATTGAAAGGGAAACAGTCATAAAATATTCTGTTGCAATTTTCTTGAGGTTAAATTACAGAATGACCAGACTATGCTGGAATATTGCTAAAAGCGGCGTAAAACCAAACTCACTCACTAAAAATGTATAGACTAATGCTGTACTAGGCGTACTAGGTTGACACAGGGTGTCTTCACTGATGTCAATGGAATGTTTTCAGGGAAATTGATGGATAATTCTTTAAAAATTCAAAGATAGGAAATAGCAACTTCTTAGCATGTAGTGCTTATGTTTCACATGCCTTTGACGTGACTGATCTGAATGAAAAGACAATTCCTAAATATTTGTGATGCTATTTTCATAGTTTTAACATCATAAGTCCATTTTTCTTTCCTTCTTTTGTTTGGACTTTTATTTTAAGATTTTCTTTAAGGAAATAAACCTTATCCACCCTGAAAATTTGAATTGATAATTTTGCCTCAAGTCTTTTTGCAGATTGAACAAGGAATCTGTAAAACAGGAAATTGAATTTATCTCATCTTGTCATATGAAAAAATACTCCTTAAGCCATTTCAATCAGGAAGACAGGCCCATTTTCAATGATTGATCGAATTCAATTCAAGACCATAAATCTATCAAAAAATACAATTAACTCATGACTGGCTCACAAGCTGACACGCATGAGCTGCTTCGGATGTCACGCTTTGCATGCTGAGTGAATGGTTAGTTGGTGCTGTTGTTGCAGATGACCACCAAGATCACTGTGGTCTTGGAGTGACCCGCGTAGACCGGTCAGTGAATAGTCCTGCTCCTAATACATCAGTGGAATGGAGACACATACTACTTTCCAATAAACGACTCAGATAGGGGAAACAGGACAATAGCATCAGCATTAGGAGGCAGATTTTCCCTGTGTATTTAATTGAAACTTGTCCTTGGTGAGATGAATGACCTGGCTGAAACATCAGGGTGGAAATTGTCGGTGATTGCCTCATGCTGGTCAAGATATTGGAGGAAATAATTCAGTTGTGCGAATGCAGAAGTAATATGTCTGACATCATGTGTAGCATATTCAGATATCAGGTCTGCGTCAAGAATCACGATCATCAGATTATATACTGTTATCAGTGTACTTCCATGGGGTTTCAGATAAAGGTTTTCATCTTGTTTGCTAATTTATGAATTAGATATTTATTTTTATTAATTTTTATTAAAAAAATTATGGTAATGTGAATTATGGATTGACCATGTTTTTTTTCTGGAGGGAATTATGAAAATACAATTTGGCATCATTTGGGATTTAGCATAAAACATACAAAATTATCATCTGTGGTGTTGAAAAAAATTAAATTATAAGCATCAAAATAAAATGTTGATAAATTGCAGTTAGAATAATTGCATGTTTTAAAAAGTAACAAACAAGTATTTTTTTATTCTGAAAATTCCATTTTCCCTTTTTTCCACCAGAGATTCAATACTGGTCATTGATCTCTTGCTTTTCCTCTTTGTCGACATGCTTGATGGTGCCTTGTGTGAGATCCATCATCTATTTTCCTGAGCTAAGTCGTGACACAGCGTGTCTCTGGCGTGACATGTATTTTGTGTTCTGGTGACATGTAATGTAGAGATTTGGCATGTTCATTATTCAATTGGAATATATATGGTTCGGAGCAAACTTAAGTAACAGATCATTTTGTTTCCTAGCAACAACACAGAACCTCTGTCAGTTTATACTGCCATATTTCTTCTATTTGACTCCAGGCTTCCAATACATGCCTGCCTTTACGTGATGCCTGATCATTTGCACTGTCCAAAAAATAGAACCCGGGTCTCTAATGCTGTGATAAGCTGGGGATCAATAATGACCAATTCCTGTAAATGTACCCTTTGTAAGACAGTAGAATTTGGGGTTCGGTAAGGTAGTGAGTTGCCACTGTACCAGCATTAAACGGAATAGATGCCAGGTCAGAGGCTTGGATGAAAGTAGGAGATGCCTGTGCGTTTAACAGAGGAAATATGGTATTTAGGATATTACCAGCAGCCTCGATCTACTCTCTTGTAGTAGTTTCTGGCTGCCTGATACAACAGTTTTGGTGTTTTTTTAGACTCCTGGTAAATATCAATCATATCTGATACTGCTTGACTTAAGTGGCATATTTTGAAGTGTTTAGTGTGATATTCATTGTAGATTTGGAGAACACTCACCATCAAATTCAAATTTACATGTGTTATGAAGTTGCGAAGTGATCAGATAGGATTGAATATCGTCATTATTAGAAATGAATATGGATATGTGTTGTTACATAATTGCAGATAAAACAGGAAAGGAATATATTAGTTATAAATTGGAATTAATTTTTCAAAGCGTGTAAACAGATTTTAGCTGACTGAATTGTGGCACATTGTTGATACATCATTAATTTTTGTATTTTTGACATCTCTTCTGAAACTACAAGGGCCTTATGGACCTGAAACATTGTATGAATAATCCCAGCTATACAGATATCAAATCAGTTTTTAAAGATGGCCTCCATGGCGGCCATTTTGAAAATGTCATTTTTTGGCCATAACTCAGCCACGTGCATGTATCAATGCGTGACTTGATATGCATAAAATACCATAAGTGTTTTTTAGCATATTTTGATGTTTCATCCAGGTACATACTGTGACTTTCTTGAACAATATTTCTATTGTTAATTCGACATCTCCTCTACAGCAGCAAGGCTATGGAGCTGAAATTTTGTAGGAATGATCCCAGCTATGGTATCTCTGTAAATGACAGAAGTCAGATCCAATCATAAGCATGGCTGCCAAAATGTCATATAATGGCTGCAGATTATTTTATAAACACATCACAACAAAATAGATCTAGTGTCAAGGTGACAACTTGACAACTAATACCCAATGTAGCACCTATTTATAAACCGCTTCTTTTGAGTGAGTTCAGTTGGGTTTAATGCCGCTTTTAACAGTATTCCAGTTATAGTTATATCACGGCGTGTCAGCTTGATGTGGGAGGAAAGCCCAAAGTGATGCAGGTCTCAGCCGTTTACCACTTCCGTGAAACCCACGAGCACAGGTATGGTGCTGACAAACCTAGAAACATAATCGGGGCGAACCAGGATTCAAACCCACAATCATAGGTTTCTGGCGTTCCCAAGGGACGCAACTCTGCACAGCAAATCGCGGCGCCTTAGGCAGCTTGGCCATCCATGCACCCCCCCATTTCTTTGAGTTGCTGGAATGCTGCTGAAACTGGTTTGGAACCGTACACTTACTCCCTTGCCCACCTTCCCACCTTCCCAGGCTCGCTGACTTGGTTGAAACATGTTATCATATCCCAATTGCGTGGATTCATGCTCATGATATCAATCTCGTCTCGTCCAGACTCAAATAATTTGTAGACTACTGTCATATAGCTGGAATATTGCTGAGTTTGTCGTTAAACAATAAACAAGCAAACAAAACAAAACACTGGCCACCTCTGTGGTCTTGTGGATAGTGCATCTGCCCGGAGAGAGGAATGTCAGTGGATTGCTCCCCATCTGCTTCATACCAAAAGACTTTAAAAGATGGTTCTTGTTGTTACCCTGCCTGGTGCTCGGCATTAAGGGGGAAAAATAGGACTGGTCAGATCGGAGTCAGTCTACTGTGTCTGTGTGGGGAATCGTTGTTAAGCTGTGGTATGATATCTCATTTGTCCGGACTAGTAGAAACAGACAGACAGACAGACAGACTTATGCAAGCACACACGCACACATGCAAGTACACATTGCTATGTAGGTGCAATAATCTTGAATGTGACATAAACCCCATTTGACCTCACCTTCCCTGTACTCACTCACTCACTCACTGATTCCAGGCAGGAGTTGAAGCACCGCTACAGTCTGGGCAGCCCAGAGCTCCAGCAGCAGCTTCAGAAGGAGGCAGAAGTTCTGGCATCACATCATCAGCAGAACCTGACTCAGCAGAAACACAAGTAAGTCAATACAGCCTTCGTCCAAATGGGCTCCATGTTGGCTTACAAATTCTATTATGTGTGCTTCTATCTACAAGCAACCTAGCTTTTAGAATTATCAAAATATTTGAAAACTGGTTAAGCATCGACTTGTCAGGAAACTGAGTAGAGCACTTCAGGGGGAAATGAATAAACAGGCAAGTAAAGATAAATGTTGAATTTTATAATTTGTTTGTTTTGAATTTCTTTTGACTCTACTTTCATCTGTAAGGTTTAGCATTATGACATGCCTTGGTCTTACACTATAAGCCGGGGATGGGGAGAGCAGGGTTGCTGGATATTTATGAATACTGACGACTCTGCAAAATCAAGTCCATCAAAGATGTAATGTCAAACTCTCTTTACTTTTGAGTTAATTGGTCAAGAAGGAACAGGTCAATATTTACATAATCTATGAATTTTGTTTATTATTATGCAAATTCCTGCTGATTGTCAGATTTAAAAGATATATTTTCCTGAAAACTAAACTTCTTTTGAGATAAGAGTCAAGAAACAAATAAATAAGGTGCAGTGAACATCCAGACATATCTTATTACCGTATTCGACGTAATAAGCGCCCAGGGCACTCTCAAAATTAGAAATAGGGGGCTGTTGTTAGAATATTATTTTGGTGAAAAAAAACAGAGTTGAAAGATAAATTTTGTGGTTTATGCTGACAGCCTGAAGTGTTTATGTACGACAGATATATTTTTCAAGAATTTAATTGCCCATAATTAAAGGTGCATATAACACACGAGTGCGTATTATACGCGAACAAATAAGTCTTGTGTACATTGATCAATCAGAAGGGGTGCTAATTGGGATTGTTCACTAGCCAATATCTTAGCAAATATCGCCATGGGCGCTTATTAGAGCGGGGCGCTTATTACATCGAATACAGTATATTCTTCTGCAATGACAAAGAAGAGAACATATATAATAGCCGATAAACATATATGCATATGCAAGCACTTATCTTCCGAAATCAATACTGTTATACAACTAACTACTCAAGCGATATGTTTTATTTATTTGTCGGAGCTTATTTGGTGCTGATGCAATGAAGGGGATTAAGAAAATATTGTGAAAATATTGGCAACAAAAGCTGAAAGTGTCCATGTCTATTGATAGACCTCTCCACCCAAGCTCACAGCTGCTACAATCTCATTCTCTATTGAATGAATGCATGAAAAACACCAGATGAAAAATTACTTATCTGAAAGCATCTGGATCTGTTGCATTTGGTTTTATTTAGCAGAGATGGACCTCAGCTGTTTCAATTATCAAATGAATGAGATAAAGAGAGACTCATCAATGAGCATGTACAGTGGTGTTGAGTTGACAGCTGTTGTCTTCTTGAAAGGTCTGGGTTGATAGTCGTTTGGAGTGCCTCATTTGTGTTGCATCTGCAAAATCTCAACAGTTTCAATGTGTCGTGATGGTTTACTTCTCTTGCACTGAAAGTATCCTAGGATGTCCATTTGGGTCTCTGAGTCAACCCATGCTTGTTTATTATCTTAGTTGATGCTGGGTTAGAATAGGTACCCAGCTCCCATTCTTGTCTCTCGATGAAACACTGGGTTAGAATAGGTCCCCAACATCCATTCTTGTCTTTCTATGGAGACACGGGGGCACAGGTGGCCCAGTCGTCTAAGGCGCCGCGATTCGCTGTGCAGAGTTGCGTCCCTTGGGCACGCCAGAAACCTATGGTTGTGGGTTCGAATCCCGGTTCGCCCCGATTATGTTTCTAGGTTTGTCAGCACCATACCCGTGCTTGTGGGTTTCACCGAAGTGGTAAACGTCTGAGACCTGCATCACTTCAGGCTTTCCTCCCACATTAAGCTGACATGCGGCGATATAACTGGAATACTGTTAAAAGCGGCATTAAACCCAACTCACTCACTCACTCACTCACTCACTCACTCTATGGAGACACTGGGTTAGAATAGGTCCCCAGCTCTCATTCTTGTCTCTCGATGGAGACACTGGCTTAGAATAGGTCTCCAGCTTCCATTCTTGTCTCTCGATGGAGACACTGGGTTAGAATAGGTCTCCAGCTCCCATTCTTGTCTCTCGATGGAGACACTGGGTTAGAATAGGTCCCCAGCTCTCATTCTTGTCTCTCGATGGAGACACTGGGTTAGAATAGGTCTCCAGCTCCAATTCTTGTCTCTCGATGAGACACTGGCTTAGAATAGGTCCCTAGCTCTCATTCTTGTCTCTCGATGGAGACACTGGGTTAGAATAGGTCCCCAGCTCCCATTCTTGTCTCTCGATGGATACACTGGCTTAGAATAGGTCCCTAGCTCTCATTCTTGTCTCTTGATGGAGACACTGGCTTAGAATGGGTCCCTAGCTCTCATTCTTGTCTCTCGATGGAGACACTGGCTTAGAATAGGTCCCTAGCTCTCATTCTTGTCTCTTGATGGAGACACTGGCTTAGAATGGGTCCCTAGCTCTAATTCTTGTCTCTCGATGGAGACACTGGCTTAGAATAGGTCCCTAGCTCTCATTCTTGTCTCTCGATGGAGACACTGGGTTAGGATAGGTCCCCAGCTCCCATTCTTGTCTCTTGATGAAACACTGGGTTAGAATAGGTCCCCAGCTCCCATTCTTGTCTCTTGATGAAACACTGGGTGAGAATAGGTCCCCAGCTCTCATTCTTGTCTCTCGATGGAGACACTGGGTTAGGATAGGTCCCCAGCTCCCATCCTGTCTCTTGATGAAACACTGGGTTAGAATAGGTCCCCAGCTCCCATTCTTGTCTCTTGATGAAACACTGGGTGAGAATAGGTCCCCAGCTCTCATTCTTGTCTCTCGATGGAGACACTGGGTGAGAATAGGTCCTCAGCTCTCATTCTTGTCTCTCAATGGAGACACTGGGTGAGAATAGGTCCCCAGCTCTCATTCTTGTCTCTCGATGGAGACATGGGGTTAGAATAGGTCCCCAGCTCTCATTCTTGTCTCTCGATGGAGACACTGGGTTAGAATAGGTCCCCAGCTCCCATTCTTGTTTCTCGATGGAGACACTGGCTTAGAATAGGTCCCTAGCTCTCATTCTTGTCTCTCGATGGAGACACTGGCTTAGAATAGGTCCCCAGCTCCCATTCTTGTCTCTCGATGGAGACACTGGGTTAGAATAGGTCCCTAGCTCTCATTCTTGTTTCTCGATGGAGACACTGGGTTAGAATAGGTCCCTAGCTCTCATTCTTGTTTCTCGATGGAGACACTGGGTTAGAATAGGTCCCCAGCTCTCATTCTTGTCTCTCAATGGAGACACTGGGTGAGAATAGGTCTCCAGCTTCCATTCTTGTCTCTCGATGAAATAATGGGTTAGAACAGGTCCCCAGCACCCATTCTTGTCTCTCGATGGAGACAATGGCTTAGAATAGGTCTCCAGCTTCCATTCTTGTCTCTCGATGGAGACACTGGCTTAGAATAGGTCTCCAGCTTCCATTCTTGTCTCTCGATGGAGACATGGGGTTAGAATAGGTCCCCAGCTTCCATTCTTGTCTCTCGATGGAGACACTGGGTTAGAATATACAGGCCTTATACACAGGATTGAAGAGTTTTGATGGATTTTTTCCAAACACAAAGACATTACCGTGAGCACGTAACACCGGAAGCACCATGTCAACAAATCTGTACTGAAGTATGCATATTAATCATGTAATTACACTGGTTATAAAAAGTGTCAAAGCCTCCAGCATCCATGCTTGCATGCTATTCTATGGAGACATGTGTTAAAATAAGTCTTCAGCACCCATGCTTGTCTTTCCATTTCTTTTTTCGGTACGTGTTTAATAGGTCGCTTTCTGCCTAAGCAGTTTTGTTGACCTGCTCCTCTTGGGCCTAATGTGTGTGAGGAGACTATGTTTTTCTATTGGGATTGGTAGTATTGATAAGACTTTTTTTTCATTGATATGATTTCTTTTTTGTTTTTCCAAAATTGATTTTAATTTGGCTGCTCTTCGAGTAGTTGACCATCTTTCAAAGGTAGAGTTAGATTTGTTTTCGCTATTGCATCTCTTGTCTTTAGGAGATCTACGACAGAGTGCAGATCTCACTGCATTTCGTGCTTTAAGTGAGCCCAGGCTGGGGTATGGTCTTGACATAAAATGTCCCCCATGTCTGCCCCTGGGCAATCTGGGTTAAAATAGGACCAGAGTCCTCATTCACCTTACTGTAGAGAGTGGAGTCCCTCTTGTCAAGATCAACTTGTCACAAGGTTAAGCTCATAGTTGGTCCCTCGTTGTACAGAGGCAGGTTTTACAATCTTTGGTCTGTCAGCACCATGCATGCATCAGCTGGTGAGGGTTTCAGCAAATTGGTAAACATCTGCGACCTGTGTCTGTGGAGGGCTTTTCTCCAACACTAAGCTGACTTTTAAACACCCTGTGACGGCAGCTGTGGTTTCAGAGGTGTTGTATATTCATATTATCATGTCAGGTCTTCATTTTCATCACCTCTCTTCCCTCAGGTTTTAGAGTGAGTGAGTGAGTATGGTTTTACGCCGCTTTAAGCAATATTCCAGCAATATCACGGCGGGGGACACCAGAAATGGGCTTCACACATTGTACACATGTCGGGAATCGAACCCGGGTCTTCGGCGTGAAGAGCGAACGCTTTAACCACTGAGCTACCCGACCGCCCCCTCAGGTTTTAGAATCCCAGGCATAAAATAAAATTGAAGTTTTGTTTTACCCAACACATATAACTGTGTAGATCAGTATTTAGCCTACTGCCACTTTTGCCTATTCCCTTGTAGGTATCTTGCTATCTTGTAGTAACCTTGTGAGACGTATTAAGTGAGACCTGCTTGGAGGTGTTGCATTTGAATTGTAAGACCAAGGTTGTAAGACCTTGATTTTGTTTTATACTACAAATACTGTATTGTTTTACTTTAAGGTATCCAAATGTTTTCTTGTTCTTTTCGGTATTTCTTGCATTGGAACCAGGGGTCCGGAAACCGTCATATGCGCCGGACATGTCCGATTGGGAATCTCAAATGTCCGTTTTAAAATATTGCTTACCGGACATTTTAAAAAGTATTGTCCGGACATTCTTAAATTTTGACCGGACATGATCAACAGTTAGGACTGAACAGTTTCTGTCTGCAGTTGCAACACAATGAAGATTAACTACACTGACAAGCTTTGTTTGTTTTGATTGCTGAAAATACATCGCACCTACATGATAGTCCAATCGGTCAATCACTGTAATAGGCAATAAACTGAGTTGACACTGATTAATCGAGGATTAATTACTGAGAACATCTTGTTAATTTGAGTGAAAGGTGTTTACAACTGTACATTAATACCTTGCATCATCGATGTACCTCATTATCCTCACAATGCTACGATACGTAACCTCAGAAAAGAAGCGAAAGCATGACGGCAGCCAGTCGACCGATGCAGATCAGTCGAGCGGATCTGCCAAACCCTCAAAGTCTGGACGATCATTTTGTAAGTCGTGGCTAACGACTTTCACTTGGTTGACATACAATGAGGATTTGCAGATTTTATTGTTTTCAGTAGCTAGTCGTATATTGAATCTTGATTGACCGCCATTTTGCTTTCTCGGACAATCGATATCCAATTTTTTTATGGTCAATAATTAAGTACAGATGAAAAAAGTATTCAAATAACTATTGCTATCAACGATATTTTAGTATTTGTGATTAAATTATCTGTCTTGTTTTTAAAAAAATCTTTCGTTTAAAAAAACCCTTTTCCCGTGAGGTCACGTGATAACCAAATATGGGATAATAGTCTAGATCCAAATGTTACAACACGTACACTTGAGCAGACTCATGAATATAACTCATGAATATTAATTAGACCGTTCACTACGTTAACAGATCGTTATTATAACAGAAACAAACGTATGTTTTCCATGTAAATCTAAAATGATATTATTTGTTATTAATTGTCCGGTGAATTAAACAATTTAAATTGAAACAATTCATAATTCATCATATTATGAATACGTAAACTTGTAATGTGTGTGAAAAGTCGTACTAAAATACGCTATTTGAAGGGGGCGTGGCCTAAATGCAAATGTCCGATTGGGATTTTAAATTTTCCGGACCCCTGATTGGAACTGTTGACAAGTTAGGAATATCCCACATGGTTTTGGTTGAAAATGTATAACTTCAAGCTTGGGAAAAGTTAACTGCAACTTCAACACTGTCCAGCAGCCATATTGCTTCTGTGTTTGATATTATCTTTTAGGAGCTCACTTGATAAAAACAAGCAGATTTTAAATACAAATTTCATACAGACTGCTTGACATACTTGCTATTAAGTTTATTTTTGAGTTTATTTGGTTCAAATTCATTGGGAGGCATGGATAGACCAGTATTCTAAGGCATTGTAAATGCTGTGCAGAGTTGTGTCCCCTAGGCATGCCAGAAACCTATGAAGTGTGTTTGTATTCCTGTTCGCTTTGATTATGTTTCTAGGTATGTCAACACCATACATACTCACTCATACACTCACTCACTCATTCGTCCCCCACCATGATATTGCAGGAATATTGCTAAAAGCGGCGTAAACCCATAGTCACTCACTCACTCACTCACTCACTTACATTGCCACTCATACTGTCACTAACTCACTCCCAAACCAATAACAAATAACACATCCCTGTGCTGCAAATAAATAGATCTAATATGCTGAAAACACAACCTCCTTAAAACCAGTTGAGCAGAAGCCCTTGAAGAAGTCCCAAGCAGTTACGGACAGCATTAAATAAATGGGTGTCAGAAGTCTCAAATTGTAAAAATTCAAGGACTTCAAATTGGCTTTATCAACCTTGTACAATTTCCAAGTCACATGTAAAGTTCTAATCAGGCTTAGGATGTCTCCTGGCATCCTAAATTCCAATCGTTGCTATGAAGAAATGGCTTGTTAAATGTCAGTCTTATTAGCAGTGATTTGGTCATATGATTGACTGCATCATCTGAAAGTAGCTTTGTTTACTGCTTCCGTCAGCGAGGGGGAGTATTTTTCAGTAAGCAGAATATTTTTTGAATTGCTAATAATACTTTTGGCAATAATCATGAAAATTCTTTAATTCTTAGTTTCCTCCCTGGTTCTGGTGATGGGGATTAAGGTGGCTTGTAATGTCACTCCAGAATGTGAGGTGTTAGCTCATGGGAAGACAAGCCTCAAGTGGAGGACATTGTTTTATTTTCTTATTAGCTGACCAAACTCAAGGTCAAGTGACAGGGTCATGGTCAGTTTTTGTCAGCCATCTGCAAGTGGCAATATCCTATACTTGTTTAGTTATTGTCATTTCTTGCTGATTTTTTCAAGTAAAGTGATCGAACAAATGGAACTCTGTTCTTATTTATATTTATGTTCTGAATTCTTCAGAAAATATGAATAAATCGAGGAGTCATACTGTCTACTGACTATAGATATGTTCCATCTTAGTCACGCTGTTTGTATAAGGGACGTTACGATGTCGTAATGCAACATGACCTGTTGGCCTCCAAGACCTACCACACTAAATTTGCTACATCGCCATTATGTAAACATCGTTGGCATTCATAGTATTCATATCTTGAGTATTACAATACATACCTGATCATATGTAAAGCAGTCATGGGTGAACATTTTCTCTGGCATATTTATAACACTCCTTTATGTATCATTGATGATTGTACATGTGGGGATTCGGGGTCAGCATTGGTCCCTAGCAACCTATTTGCTGGTCAGACATGCCGACTATATGGATTCGGGGTCAGTCTCGGTGACTTGGTAGATGAATGTACCCTGTCAGTGTGGATCCTTCCCTACAATATAATGTTGTTGCTGTATTGATGAGGGTGTAGTCTTCTTATGTTCCAGGGGGCACGGGTGGCCCAGTCGTCTGAGGCGCCAAGATTCGCTGTGAGGAGTTGCGTCCTTTGGGCACGCCAGAAACCTATGATTGCGGGTTCGAATCCCGGTTCGCCCCGATTATGTTTCTAGGTTTGTCAGCACCATACCCGTGCTCATGGGTTTCACCGAAGTGGTAAACGTCTGAGACCTGCATCACTTCAGGCTTTCCTCCCACATTAAGCTGACATGCCGTGATATGCCTGGAATACTGTTAAAAGCAGCATTAAACCCAACTCAATCACTCACTCACTATTCTGTCCCACTACCATGATTCCTCTTGTATTTCTCCAGTATTTCACTTGTATTCTACTTTTATTCCACTTGTATTCCACTTGTGTGTAGAAAACTCCTATAATGTCTCTGACACCATGAGACCCGTGAAGATCCGGGTTAGAATAGGTCTTCAGCAACCACAAACCCATGCTTGCCGTAAGAGGCAACTTTGCTTGTCATAAGAGGCCACTAATGGGATCGTGTGGTCAGACTCACTGACCTGGTTGATCTATGTTATCGTATCCCAATTGCGTGGATCAATGCTCATGATGTCAATCACTGAATTGTCTTGTCCAGACTCGATTATTTACAGACCGCCGTCATATAGCTGGAATATTGCTGAGTGCGGCGTTAAACACTTAACAGACAAACAAACAGACAAATCTGACACCAAGGTAATTTGCTGCTCCAGGATTGATGAGCTGACCCGGCAGTATGGTGAGCTGGAGGATGAGTTCAGGCTGGCGCTGCAGATTGAGGCAAACAGGTTCTCAGAGGTAGGTTCCTTGTTACGGATGCCATTCCGATAGATGCTTCACATGCTGGTCAGTGATCATTCAGTACTTATCCAACAGGTTCTTCTTATTCCAGCCGGGGCGGTGGGGTAACCTAGTGGTTAAAGTGTTCGCTCGTCACGCCGAAGACCCGGGTTCGATTCCCTACATGGGTACAATGTGTGAAGCCCATTTAAGGTGTCCCCCACTGTGAAATTGCTGGAATATTGCTAAAAGCGGCGTAACAACATGCTCGCTCGCTCGCCCACTCACTCACTCACTCACTCACTCACTCACTCACTCACTCACTCACTCACACACTCACACACTCACTCACTCACTCACTCACTCACTCACTCACTCACTCACTCACTCACTCACTCACTCACTCACCCACCCACCCACCCACTCACTCACTCACTCACTCTTATTCTAGCTAACATAAAGCCTGTGCAATAGAGGCTAAAGCAGATTCATGACAGCATGAGTGAGTGAATTGTGTTGAATGCTACATCAAATTGGGATACAATGAATTGAATCAGCCAAGTCAGCAAGCCTGACCACCCAATCCCGTCTGTCGCCTCTAATGACAAGCATGGGTTGCTGAAGACCAATTCTAACTCGGATCTTCATGGGGCAGTGCTTCAGCCAGAACTGGCTATGTCACACAGACCTGTAAATAATCAAGTCTTGACATGGGAAACTGGTGACTGAACACATGAGCATCCATGCTATCACAGCACGACATGGAATCAGACCTAAAGTTAAAGATGAAAAAAAGAAGAAATTATAATAGCTCATGCAAGTGCCGAGATAAGTGGACACTGTATACATAGCAACAGTGAGTGAGTATTGTTTTACGCTGCTTTTAGCAATATTCCAGCAACATCTGGATGGGGGACACCAGATATGGGCTTCACACACTGTACCCACGTGGGGAATCAAACACAGGCCTCTGTGTCCACTGTCCACAGAGCACCTGACGACCCGTTATAATCCCGGCAGAGAAGAGGTCTTCAGCAACCCATACTTGCTGTAAAAGGCAACCATGCTTGTCATAAGAGGCGGACCCGTGAAGATCTGGGGTAGAATAGGTCTTCAGCAACCCATGCTTGCCGTAAAAGGCGACTATGCTTGTTGTAAAAGGCGACTAACGGGATTGGGTGGTCAGGCTCGCTGACTTGGTTGATGCATGTCATCGATCCCAATTGCGTGGATCGATGCTCATGATATCAATCACTGGATTGTCTGGTCCAGACTCGATTATTTGCAGACCGTGGTCATATAGCTGGAATATTGCTGAATGCTGTGTTAAACAACAAACCAACCAACCAACTAAGAGGCGATTAATGGGATCGAGTTGTCAGGCTCGCTGACTTTGTTGATACATGTCATTGTATCCCATTTGCATGGATTGATTCTCATGATGTCAATCACTGGATTGTTGATTATTTACAGACCACCGTCATATAGCTGGAGTATTGCTGAAAGCAGGGTTGAACAAACAAACAAAAAAACGAGCACCTGACTACATGGTACATACAGCAATTGCATTGTATACTATCCAGGACGCCACAAAGGACTAGATTATGATACACACTCAAAGTTTCATTTGACTCTGGAAAAGTTAACTTACAAATTACAATTCTATAAATTTGTGATTCCAATACTTACTTACAATAGATAAAACTAGTTGAAAGCCCAAACCATGGTATGTAATGACAATCTATTTCAATTATTGTAGTTTAAAAGTTGGAAATGAAGATGAGAATTCTACCTTTCTAAGTAACATATATATCAGACATATGAGTTAATTAAATATAAAATGATTATTTTATTTATATTATTAGCTTCATAATATCATGAAATAGGAAATATTAATAAAAAATGTCCTTTTGATATTATATGTGTGAACTCATTATTTTATTGCATGGATCATATTCAGTTTATTGCAGCTTGTTCACTTCCAAATTCAGATTAGTTGGATCAAATCTGCAAGTAACGCAGCATGTTTATCGCCTAAGTATATTCTAAAATAAAAGCCTATTATGAGTAAGAGTATTTATGGATGTCAACTTCTTTATTATGATGAGTAACACAATGTTTCGGAGTATATGCTAATTCCTTCATCAGGTGAATGAGTGCTACTTGCTTACTTGCTGTTGTGGATTTAACATGCGCTTTCCGACATTATGCGTATTAGTGAGGTGGTCCAAAAGGGTATAATCGTAAAGAAGGCAACCAGGAGGGGCCATACCTAGGTGGGGGGGACTGGGGGAGTTTGTGCGGTTTTGAGTGTTTATAGATTTAGGATTTTTGTTTTGTTTGTAGATTGTTGGGTTATTTCAGATGCGGCCGAGTAGACGTGTTTTGAATAGTTATATGCCTAGTGCCTTATGTGTTTGTATGTTGTTTAATGGGTTTAGAAGAGTTGGTAGTGTCAGCTGGTTGTGGTTTAGTGTAGTTATGAGTGTTTTTCTGTGTTGTTGGTAATGTGTGCAATGTGGTTATACGTGAACGGGGGGTTCTGTTATGTTACAAAGAGGGCATTTACCAGTTTCATGAATGAATGCTATGAGGCAGAGAGCATATATGTATTTCCAAGAATAACAAAAGTAATAAGATAACAAAGGTGGAAAAGAATCAAGGGGAGCCAACAGGTAATTATTGCTGATAGGGGATTAGCAATAGACAAAAAAAGCCAATATTTAACTTATCTCTGATTGGTAATAGGCAATGGGAAAACAGGAGGCCGAGTGTTTGGGGGGGGGGGGGGGGGGGGTGATTGGCACTGATAGGTATATAAGAATGGAATGGTCAATGGACAAATGGAAGCCAGCTAGATAATTTGCACCGACAAAGATCAAAGCAATAAGTCCCAAGCACTAGGCAGATATGTTCCCTGGTCACGATTCATGGCTGACTGGTGTCTCCTGATGTCAACGGCTTCTTGTAGCTTTCTTTGTCGCCTGTTGTTGTTGTTGTTGTTGTTGTTGTTGTTGTTGTTGTTGTTGTTGTTGTTGGTAAACAGGACTTTGGTGGCTTCCCACATGATGTTCTGGTCTTGGTTCTTGACGATGTGTTTGGAAATAGCGGATTTCAGGTCTAGTTTGTTGACAGAGGTCTGATGTTAAATGAGTCTGTTTTGAGGGGTCTGAGGGTTTCTCCAATGTACTGGTGGCCACAGTTGCAGGGGATCTGGCATATACATCCTCGGGGGTTGGGGCTTACACTGCTTGTGCCACTGCCATTGGCTCGTAGATGGGTCTTGATGGTGCCAGTGGTCACCTTTTCTAGCGACAAGTCCAACGAGATACTTGTTGTTTCCTACTGGTATGTTCTGTGCTCCATAGTATTGATTCACCTGATGAAGGAGTAAGCATATACTCCGAAACATTGTGTTCCTCATAATAAAAGAGTTGACATCCATAAATTCTCTTCTTCTTTTTTCTCAGAAAAGTTAAGCTGGTACATGAAATAATACAAATAACACTGAGAGGTGATTAAATGGATCGGATAGTCAGAATTGGTAACTTGGTTGATAGTATGTCGCGATCATTGCTCATAATATCAATCACTGGATTCTCTTGCCCAAACTTCATTATTAAAAGGTCACTGTCATGTGTCTAAAATATTGCTGAGTGCTGCTTTAAACAACAAACAAACAAATCTAGGCTAGCTATGCTTTAAGTCTAGATTGTCAAGTCAAGACATTGTAGTTATGTCAACAGTGTTATCTGTGTAATTTGGGTAATTGATAAGTGTTGTATTGATCTGAATCAATTTGAGTTTCTAGGAAAGCAAAGAAGTGTTTGAATAATGTGAATAAAAGATCCCAAAGAGTGCAAACAGCCCTGTGATAATTCCCTCTTTATCAATATCAGTGATTAGCTAACATGTATTTTTTTGGTTCTGGTGCATAAAAAACCCTGGCAATTTCACCTAATTAATACCTCTAACTACACCCAGCAATCACTGGCCACAGCAATGACTCATTTACCCAGCATGCCTTAGTGGGCTGGATTCTTCAGTTGTTGTGCTGTTTTTAGTGGGCGTAAATACACAATAACTTAATTTCAGTGAAAGCCACACACGAAGATGGAGGAATTGCTCAGTAAAGATGACGCTGTTTGATAACACTCAGGGGGGCCTGGTTTAAGCTCTCATTTCTTATGCTGTGAAGGCCATTTGCATTTTTGCAATTACATTTTTTAACATTTTTGCCATCAGACTAACTGTTTAAGCAATGGAATTGAAGATTTCAGTGGACTTTTTCACAGTGTTTTTTCTCAAGTTTGTTTAAATCATCAACATCCAAATTTCAATTTTGTGTTAGTGGCAGCCATTTTGAAAGAGGTATATATTTGGCTGTCGTTCTGAAATTTGATAACATTGATTTGATGAAATTTAATTTGTGATTTGGATGGAACGTATATGGGCCCACTGACAGGTGCTATTTTCAGTGCACTTTGTGAACATAACGACTACAGCCATTTCAAGTATTATACTTCTGTATCTTCTGTGAAACTTTGAGATCGATGAATCTGAGCTATGATGTTTTAAATTGTCTCAATTTGGTTTCTATGGCAATTACAACATTGGGACCATGGGTGGCCCAGTCGTCTAAGGCGCCACGATTCGCTGTGCAGAGTTGCGTCCCTTGGGCACACCAGAAACCTATGATTGTGGGTTTGAATCTCGGTTCGCCCCGATTATGTTTCTAGGTTTGTCAGCACCATACCTGTGCTCGTGGGTTTCACCGAAGTGGTAAACGTCTGAGACCTGCATCACTTTGGGCTTTCCTCCCACATCAAGCTGACATGCCGTGATATGCCTGGAATACTGTTAAAAGCGGCATAACACCCAACTCACTCACTCACTCAATTACAACATTAGATTTGGTGTAGGTTTCAAACTGGTATCAAACGTGAGATTGAGTTCCAGGTCCATGATTAGCTACGCTATGATAATGGTTACTCCGATTATGACGAACTACTTTCCTGATTGTAAGTCAATGATAAGTTTCTTGTCTTCAGTCAAATTCACCTACATCTGTGTCAAGACTATATGGTGTTAATAGATGTTCTCTGATCTTATCTAGTTTGCATAACTATCATCAACTTGATAATTCATAGATATGAAGCTACAAGAAGCCATCAACATCAAAAGACTTCAGCCCTCAATAAACCGTGACCAAGGCTATTACATACCCCCCTGGCATAACATCAACTCATCAAAGACCCCAAACAGCCATAATCCCGTTGTTTACATTACTGACTTCATCCTTTGTTTATATGGCACTGACTTCACCGATGATTGTCATCACTACCCTTGTGTGGTCATAACAGGCTTCTCTACTCCAGTATAACAATATCTACTCTACTGTATAAACATTGCCTCCTACTTGTATATATACTTGCCTACTACACTCTGTAAATCACTTGCTTGATAACGGTGTTAGAACCTACACCGAAACGTCGCTCTTAATTGTAATAAAGAAGTTGTTCATCCATAAATTCTTATCCTTACTTAGTAGTCCAACTTCTAAATGCCTATCAAAGAAGAAATTCATAGATATGGTTGAAACCTTTTTGTGGAGGGTCACACTAGGTATGAGTAGTAAGCTGTTAGCCAGATGACTTTACACATGACTGTTGTGTTTTGTATTAATGCGCCACTGTGATCATGAGAATACGCCAAATAGGTATTGATTGATTCTCAAATGTTTCGCTTTTAGGGTGTGTAAAATGAGAATCTCCACTGAGTGTCGTTTGATATCAAATATATCAACATTGATAAAAGTGGGAAAACTCAGAGGCTTGCCGAAATCAAGTCTGGGCCAGACAATCCAGTGATTGACATCATGAGCATCTGCACTCAGCAATATTCAAGCTATATGATGGCTGTCTGTAAAAAATCAAGTCTGGACCAGACAATCCTGTGATTGACATAAGGAGCATCGATCCACGCAATTGGGATACGATGACATGCATAAACCAAGTCAGCAAGTCTGACCACCCGATCCTGTTAGTACAGTTGCTGAAGATGTATTCTACTCTTCATGGGTCGAGTTGGGACTTTGTAAAGTTGGTATAACATGCAGAACCCCTGGTCTGTCAGCTGCACCACTGCTTGTGGTTGTCGGCAAGTAGTATATATCTCTGACATGTGTCAAATATAAAGGTGACATGATGTGATGTAACTGAAATATTGTTAAAGCAACACAAAAACCAACTCACTTTCTCTGCAGGGCAGTATTCTAGTAGCCTAGTGGTTGAAGCATTGACTTGTCACATTGAAGACCCAGGTTCTATTCCCAACATGGGTACAATGTGTGAAGTGTCCCTTGCCGTGATATGACTAGAAAGGCAACTTCAAACAACGCTTGCCTGCCCGCCCTCCCGCCCACTCACTCACTCACTCACTCACTCACTCAGTCACTCACTCACTCACTCACTCACTCACTCACTCACTCACTCACTCACTCACTCAGTCACTCACTCACTCACTCACTCACTCACTCACTCACTCACTCACTCAGTCAGTCACTCATGTAAGCAATCTTCAGGTCTTTTGTGGAAATTAACCCAAAGGTTGTTTATGATCAAGGATAACACTCATCACAAAACTATTTAATAATTACAGGCTAGCTACAGAGCCTGTGGCTAAAACAGAACTGTGACCTTTATACTCTTGTAGCAGCTGTCAAGTTTCTTTGATCACAGAACTCTGATATCAACAACCTTTCCATTATAGATGAAACAGCAAGTGGTAAAATCTACAAATAACATTATAGTCGACTGTGTTCTGCTGAGCCTAATACAAGTGGCCTCTGGCGTTTGTATGTGGTTCATATCTGCGTGTCACACCCCCCAGAAGACATGTGGTCTTTGTAGTGATTAGTACACGTATCAAAGACATTGACAGGTTGATGCCCAGCGGAAGTTAATTAGCCTAAACACTAAAATTATTTCCCCTGGCCAAGCTGCATCAAAATTCCATGTGATGAGCCAGGCTGTGCCCACTCGGTCTGTTGAGATTGTGAGAATGTTAAATATGACTTACTATGTGAATGAATGAATGAATGAATGAATGAATGAATGAATGAATTGGTACATTCATACTAACATCTCCAGCCTCCAACTCTCCCAATCCCAGATGAATGAATGAGTGAGTGGGTGGATGGATGGATGGATGGATGGATGGATGGATGGATGGGACATTCATACTCACATCTCCAGCCTCCAACTATCCCAAGCCCAGACAAGAATTCATTTATTCAATAAATGTAATTGATTATATACTCAGGTAAACCTATGTTCATTAATACCTTGATCTAAAGTTACGATCATGAGATTGTACTGTCTGATCCCATCGTCTAGTTAATTGCAAGGTCTTGCCCAAATAAAGAACTCTGACACAGGATTAACAGGGCCTACTTCATTCTGACTTAATCCCTTCTTCATCCATTGACTGATGTCTTCCAGACGCTTGCAACCAGGACCACTGCATGAACACTCTCCATGAACACTCCACAGCATTTTCTTGTCTACAAAACAGTGAAAGTTGCTCACCTTGCTCTTGTCATGTGCCAAGGAGAAAGGATCAAGTGATCAGACTTGGTGGTGCTTCCCGTAACCATATAGCTGCAATATTCAACTTGTCACTTTTTGCAATGAAGATGTATAAATATGTTTCATCTTTTTTGGGAGAATGTAGCTTAGTTCTGACCTTCTGGTAGATTCTCCCTGATTCTCCCAGGGAAATGTTTACATGCTCATCATCTAAAGTTCTCCCTGGAACTTGTGTTTGTTTGTTTGTTTGTTTGTTTGTTAACACTGCATGCACTCAGCAATATTCCAGCTATATGACGGCGGTCTGTAAGTAATCAAGTCTGGACCAGACAATCCAGTGATTGACATCCCGAGCATCGATCCACGCAATTGGGATAAGATGACATGCATCAACCACGTCAGCGAGCCTGACCACCCGATCCCGTTAGTCACCTCTTACGACAAGCATGGTCGCCTTTTACAGCAAGCATGGGTTGTATGGTTGCAATTATGTGTGACTTCATCTGTTAGATAAACAGGTAGTCACAGTTATTCAAATCATCGATCACTCTGTCATTGAAACATTACCTTTTGTGGGTTCAACAGGTCCGTCACCTTATCAAAATGGCTGCCTTCATATTTTATATATAACCATTACTTCAAGAACATGGGACCGCCATCATGGTGGAGTGGTAAAGGGTCCCGCCGGTGAGCGGAAAGTCCGGGGTTTGATCCCTGGCTGTGTCATACCAAAGGATTAAAAAGATTGTATTTGTTGTCACCCTGTCTGGTACTTGGCATTAAGGGGCTAAAACAAGGACAGGTCGGCTCGGTGTCAGTCGACAGTGTCTGAGTGGGGTTTTCACGTATCACTGCAGCATGGTATATCAGTGAGCTAGCACTATAATTCGGCATCAGTCCGAACTAATACACACACACACGTGCATGCACGTCGCTATATAAGTGCAATAATCTTAGACGCGACGTTAAACCCCATTTCACCTCAACTTCAAGAACATGGCCATCAACACACTTTCTGAATTACTATCACCTTCAGAACTTATTTATTAAAAACAAATCATATTTGTGCCTCGTTTCATTATGACAGCTCAAGACAGCTTTTGAAAAGACAAGGCAGGAAAATGAAGATCACCGCCAGCTTATAATGACAGCACAGAAAAAAGATGAAAAGTCCTCAGCTATGATCAGTGAACTCACAGCGGTAAGGAGACAGTCAATATGCTTGATATTGTTTCCTCTAGGCATGGTGCAGGTGTGTGTCTCAATTTCCTTTGGAGATCCAGCCTTGATATCCTTCATGGTAGATTTGTTTCCAGTGTTACTCCTTTGAACATGTATAGCCATATTTTTTGCCAAAGGGGATGGTCGGGTAGCCCAGTGGTTAAAGCGTTCGCTCGTCACGCCGAAGACCTGGGTTCGATTCCCGACATGGGTACAATGTGTGAAGCCCATTTCTGGTGTGCCCCGCCATGATATTGCTGGAATATTGCTAAAAGCGGCGTAAAACCATACTCACTCACTCGCTCCATGAATTTATGTGAAGCCTAACCATTTCCCCTGATGTAATAGTGCTGCATTGTAACCAAATGCAACATTTAGCCATGCAGACCAGTGGTTGATAGCATGAGGAACGGTTCATATAAATGTGAATACAAACAATCCACCAGGTGACATCTCATTTGTGGTCAGGTGGCACGGGTGGCCCAGTCATCTGAGGCGCCATGATTCGCTGTCCCTTGGGCACACCAGAAACCTATGATTGTGGGTTCGAATCCCGGTTTGCCCCAATTATGTTTCTAGGTTTGTCAGCACCATACCTGTGCTCGTTGGTTTCACCGAAGTGGTAAACGTCTGAGACCTGCATCACTTCAGGCTTTCCTCCCACATTAAGCTGACATGCCGCGATATAACTGGAATACTGTTAAAAGCGGCGTTAAACCAAACTCACTCACTCACTCTCTTATTTGTGGTCAAATGCCATTGGTGAGGTACCGAGTCCCTGTCTCTGCTCCAGAGTTCCCACAGGGCTCATAACCATGAAAGTTGGCCTTTAGTTCTGAATTCTCAAATAACTCATCAGTCTCTATATTTACTTCACAATGTTATACAGAAACCTACGATTGTGGGTTTGATTCCCGATTTGCCCCGATTTTGTTTCTAGGTTTGTCAGCACCATACCCATGTTCATGGGTTTGACCGAAGTGGTAAACGTCTGAGACCTGCATCATTTCGGGTTTTCCTCCCACATTAAGCTGACCCGCCGTGATATAACTGTAATACTGTTAAAAGCGGCATTGAACCCAACTCACTCACTCACTCCCAATGTTATATAGGGGCGGTCAGGTAGCCTAGTAGTTAAAGCGTTCACTTGTCACCCCAAAGACCCGGGTTCGATTCCCGACATGGGTACAATGTTGAAGCCCATTTCTGGTGTCCCCCACCGTGATATTGCTGGAATGTTGCTGAAAGCAGCGTAAAACCATATTCACCCACTCACTCACAATGTTATAGTATGCATGCAGGAAATGATGCAGCTCTATGGTTACATTGTGCATATTTTGTATTCATGTACACTTTGCTCTCCTTATAAGGACACTATTACTAACTGATTCCATTGGAAGGTATAGTAAACATTTATAGAACAGAGGGAATAGGTTTAGTGTTATCAAGCATAATATCAGTGTCTCACAGTCTTCAGATTAATCTTTGTTGGTATTGTTAAGAAATAAAGTTTGCTTAACCACCATGTGTAGTGTATGGTTTTGTAGTTGATGCAAGAGGCCATTTTAAGACTAAAGTACTGTCCGTACCTTTCATCTTTTCAAAAACATATTCGACGTAATCGTAATAAGCGCCCCGCTCTAATAAGCGCCCATGGCGATATTTACTAATATATTGGCTGGTGAACAATCCCAATTAGCACCCCTTCCGATTGATCAATGTACACACGACTTATTTATTCATGTATAGTACGCACTCGTGTGTTATGTCTCTTAATTATGGCCAATTAAATTCTGAAAAAATATATCTGTCGTATATAAACATTTCCGGCTGTCAGCATAAACCACAAAATATACGGTCTTTCAACTCTGTTTCTTTTTAACCAAAATAATATTCTAATAAGAGCCCCATATTTCTAATTTTGTGAGCGCCCTGGGCGCTTATTACGTCAAATACGGTATTAAGATAAGATAACATAAGATAGAACCACAATTGTGGTTTTCTACCATGTCCAAGTGACACAACCCGAATTGCAGCACCTTAACCAACTGGACCACTGGATGACAATCACTTAGTGTTCTTGTCCTTGTTTAACACGTCAGCTTTCTCAATATCCTGACATAAAGGAGCCAACATGCAATTTTTGCATTTCTATTACTCCAAATAAAATTTCAAAACATCAATGAGATGTTTAGCTCTTGAATATCACATAATGTTCAATCTAAGCAGTATCCACATAATGTCCAATCTAAGCAGTATCCACATAATATCATATCTAAGCAGTATCCACATAATGTCCAATCTAAGCAGTATCCACATAATGTCAAATCTGAGCAGTATCCACATAATGTCCAATCTAAGCAGTATCCACATAATGTCCAGTCTGAGCAGTATCCACATAATGTCCAATCTAAGCAGTATCCACATAATGTCCAATCTAAGCAGTATCCACATAATATCATATCTAAGCAGTATCCACATAATGTCCAATCTAAGCAGTATCCACATAATGTCAAATCTGAGCAGTATCCACATAATGTCCAATCTAAGCAGTATCCACATAATGTCCAGTCTGAGCAGTATCCACATAATGTCCAATCTAAGCAGTGTCCACATAATGTCCAATCTCAGCAGTGTCAGTCTGTATGGTAAGATTTGCCAAGACATTCACCACAAAATGTTGTGTTATACTGACAGATCAATATTATGTTGTGTCGAATTAGTGGTGGCACCTATATAACCTGTTTTATGCACAGCAAAGCCTTCTTCCCTGGCTGATACAATATGCTATTGAAAAGTTCCCAACAAGCATCAATTACAAACAAATCCATACACCTTGACTTTGTTTTTCACATCTGCTACACAATGTGTTCACTGGGTTGTTCCAATTGTGGTGTTGTCGTAGATGTTGCATAGTGATTTGTCAAAAGGGGCATCAAGTGTTGCTGATGTGCGTGTCGCTCACCCATTATATTCATTAAAAAGTGGTATTTGTGCTTCAAGTATTAATTTCCTCCATATATGATTTATTAACAGGTTCATAATGATATACATGTTTACGACATTACGACTAATTTTCCCTGGCAATCCAGTCTGCTTTGTCATTGTTCAATTAGATAATACATGCTCCCTTGTGTGGTGATTTGATCCACTGACCCTAGAACACAATCGATGTGGACAAGAATAAAAGCATTCTGCCAAATGTAAACTCTTGTATGCAACCTATCATATTGCCTGGCCAGACCTATTCTCAGGAGGTGATTGATTCCGTAGTGTAGGGCATAGGGCTTCTACCTGGAGAGAGGATGCCATTCAGCATAGTATCTCAATGGACAGACTAGTAAAAGCAGCACCACACACATACATTACCATTGCTGGTAATTATAAGTGAAATAGTCTTGATCGCAATGTGAAACCCCGATTCACCTCACCTCATGGTATCTCAATGGACTAGGACACAGATTTGTAAAAAGCAGGAGACACACACAGATGAACATCACTGTTTAGGTGAAATAATCTGTAACACAATGTTAAACCTCACCTCACCTCACCTCACCTCACCTCACCTCACCTCACCTCACCTCACCTCACCTCACCTCACCTCAGCCAACACCACACCACTCCACCCCACCCCACCCCACCCCACCCCACCCCACCCGAACCCACCTAGAATGGTCTGGCAACTCAAGAATGTCTCAGCTCTGAAACGTCGCTATATAAGTGCAATAATCTTGGACGCGACGTTAAACCCCATTTCACCTCACCTCACCTCAGCTCTGAAAATAAGCATTGTTCTGGGCTACATTTGGATATTTATTTTATATCATATATATATATATTTAAATAAGATAACTTTATTTCTGGGACTACATGATAGTCTACCCTAACCCTTACACTTGAAGTTGAAGAATGTTAATGGTGAAATGTACAAATTTGACCCACCCTGATCTATTTCTGTTTGCAGCTGGTCAAGGAACAGAAAGGAAGAATTACGGAACTGACTAAGTCCAAGCATGAGCAGAATGTGGACTTCAGGGTAAGTTGTCTGAGAGGCTGGCAGCAGGTGTGACCATCTGGTGTCTCCAGCACCACCTTCCTGCCCCAGACATCTACAGCAGCTGATGAGGTACCAGGGGAAGGTCACTACTGTTCCCAGCTTTCACTGGAAACTTACAGTATTAATTAACTTGGGATGATGTACATTGGAGCGTCTATACACTCATTCAATCATATACTCTTTCATTCATACACTCTTTCATTCATACTCTCCCATTCATACACTCTTTCATTCATATTCTCCCTTTTATACACTCTTTCATTCATACACTCTTTCATTCTTATACTGTTTCATTCATCCTCTCTTTCATTCATCCACTCTTTCATTCATCCACTCTTTCATTCATCCACTCTTTCATTCATACACTCTTCCATTCATCCACTCTCTCATTCATACACTCTTTCATTCATCCACTCTCTCATTCATCCACTCTTTCATTCATACACTCTTTCATTCATCCACTCTCTCATTCATACACTCCCATTCATACACTCTTTCATTCATCCACTCTCTCATTCATACACTTTGCCATTCATACACTCTTTCATTCATACACTCTTTCATTCATACATTCTCCAATTCATAAGCTCTTTCATTCATACACTCTTTCATTCATACACTCTCTCATTCATACACTCTCTCATTCATACATTCTCCAATTCATACACTCTTTCATTCATACACTCTTTCATTCATACACTCTTTCATTCATACATTCTCCCATTCATACACTCTTTCATTCATACACTCTTTCATTCATACATTCTCCCATTCATACACTCTTTCATTCATACACTCTTTCATTCATACATTCTCCCATTCATACTCTTTAATTCATACACTCTTTCATTCATACATTCTCCCATTCATACTCTTTCATTCATACACTCTCCTATTTATACACTCTTTCATTCATACACTCTTCCATTCATCCACTCTGTCATACACTCTTTCATTCATCCACTCTGTCATACACTCTTTCATTCATCCACTCTGTCATACACTCTTTCATTCATACATTCTCCAATTCATAAGCTCTTTCATTCATACACTCTTTCATTCATACACTCTCTCATTCATACACTCTCCCATTCATACACTCTTTCATTCATACTCTCCCATTCATACACTCTCTCATTCATACACTCTCCCATTCATACATTCTCCCATTCATACACTCTTTTATTCATACTCTTTCATTCATATACTCTTTCATTCATCGACTCTTTCATACACTCTTTCATTCATACTCTCCCATTCATACACTCTTTCATTCATCCACTCTCTCATTCATACACTCTTTCATTCATAATCTCCCATTTATACACTCTTTCATTCATACACTCTCTCATTCATACAGTCTCATTCATACACTCTTTCATTCTTATACTGTTTCATTCATCCACTCTTTCATTCATCCACTCTTTCATTCATCCACTCTTTCATTCATACTCTCTTTCATTCATCCACTCTCTCATTCATACACTCTTTCATTCATCCACTCTCTCATTCATACACTCTTTCATTCATACACTCTTTCATTCATCCGCTCTCTAATTCATACACTCTCCCATTCATACACTCTTTCGTTCATCCACTCTTTCATTCATACTCTTTCATTCATATACTCTTTCATTCATCCACTCTTTCATACACTCTTTCATTCATACTCTCCCATTCATACACTCTCCCATTCATACACTCTCCCATTTATACACTCTTTCATTCATACATCCTTCATTCATACTCTTTCATTCATACACTCTTTCATTCATACATTCTCCCATTCATACACCCTTTCATTCATACACTCTCCTATTCATACACTCTTTCATTCATACATTGTCTCATTTATACACTCACTCACCCATACACTCTTTCATTCATCCACTCTCTCATTCATACACTCTCCCATTCATACACTCTTTCATTGATATACTCTTTCATTCATCGACTCTTTCATACACTCTTTCATTCATACTCTCCCATTCATACACTCTTTCATTCATCCACTCTCTCATTCATACACTCTTTCATTCATACTCTCCCATTTATACACTCTTTCATTCATACACTCTCTCATTCATACAGTCTCATTCATACACTCTTTCATTCTTATACTGTTTCATTCATCCACTCTTTCATTCATCCACTCTTTCATTCATCCACTCTCTCATTCATACACTCTTTCATTCATCCACTCTCTCATTCATACACTCTTTAATTCATACACTCTTTCATTCATCCGCTCTCTAATTCATACACTCTCCCATTCATACACTCTTTCGTTCATACACTCTTTCATTCATACATTGTCTCATTTATACACTCACTCACCCATACACTCTTTCATTCATCCACTCTCTCATTCATACACTCTCCCATTCATACACTCTTTCATTGATATACTCTTTCATTCATCGACTCTTTCATACACTCTTTCATTCATACTCTCCCATTCATACACTCTTTCATTCATCCACTCTCTCATTCATACACTCTTTCATTCATACTCTCCCATTTATACACTCTTTCATTCATACACTCTTTCATTCATACAGTCTCATTCATACACTCTTTCATTCTTATACTGTTTCATTCATCCACTCTTTCATTCATCCACTCTTTCATTCATCCACTCTCTCATTCATACACTCTTTCATTCATCCACTCTCTCATTCATACACTCTTTCATTCATACACTCTTTCATTCATCCGCTCTCTAATTCATACACTCTCCCATTCATACACTCTTTCGTTCATCCACTCTTTCATTCATACTCTTTCATTCATATACTCTTTCATTCATCCACTCTTTCATACACTCTTTCATTCATACTCTCCCATTCATACACTCTTTCATTCATCCACTCTCCCATTCATACACTCTGTCATTCATACACTCTTTCATTCATACTCTTTCATTCATATACTCTTTCATTCATCCACACTTTCATACACTCTTTCATTCATACACTCTCCCATTCATACACTCTCCCATTTATACACTCTTTCATTCATACATCCTTCATTCATACTCTTTCATTCATACACTCTTTCATTCATACATTCTCCCATTCATACACCCTTTCATTCATACACTCTCCTATTCATACACTCTTTCATTCATACATTGTCTCATTTATACACTCACTCACCCATACACTCTTTCATTCATCCACTCTCTCATTCATACACTCCCATTCATACACTCTTTCATTCATACACTCTTTCATTCATACACTCTTTCATACACTCACTCATTCATCCACTCTTTCATACACTCTTTCATTCATCCACTCTCTCATCCATACACTCTCCCATTCATACACTCTTTCATTCATACACTCTTTCATTCATCCAATCTTTCATCCACTCTCTCATTCATACATTCTCCCATTCATACCCTCATTCTTTATACACTCTCATTCATACACTCTCATTTATACACCCACTCACCCGTACGCTCTATCATTCATTCACTCTTTCATTCATACATTCTCCCATTCATACCCTCTTTCATTCATACACTCTGTTATTCATACACTCTTTCATTCATACACTCTTTCATTCATACACTCTCATTCATACACTCTCATTTATACACTCACTCACCCGTACGCTCTCTCATTCATACACTCTTTCATTCATACTCTCCCATTCATACACTCTTTCATTCATACACTCTGTCATTCATACACTCTTTCATTCATACACTCTCTCATTCATACACTCTCTCATTCATACGCTCTCTCATTCATACAAGCATTCGCTTGTCACGCCGAAGACCTGGGTTCGATTCCCGACATGGGTACAATGTGTGAAGCCCATTTCTGGTGTCCCCCGCCGTGATATTGCTGGTATATTGCTAAAAGCGGTGTAAAACCATACTCACTCACTCACTCACTCACTCTTATTCATACACTCTTTCATTCATACACTCTCCCATTCATACACTCTTTCATTCATACGCTCCCTCATTCATACAAGCGTTCGCTTGTCACGCCGAAGACCTGGGTTCGATTCCCGACATGGGTACAATGTGTGAAGCCCATTTCTGGTGTCCCCCGCCGTGATATTGCTGGTATATTGCTAAAAGCGGTGTAAAACCATACTCACTCACTCACTCACTCACTCACTCTTATTCATACACTCTTTCATTCATACACTCTCCCATTCATACACTCTTTCATTCATACACTCCCATTCATACACTCTCTCATTCATACACTTTCTCATTCATACACTGTCTCATTCATACACTCTTTCATTCATACTCTCCCATTCATACACTCTCTCATTTATACACTCTCTCATTCATACACTGTCTCATTTATACACTCACTCACCCATACGCTTTCATTCTTACACTCTTTCATTCATACACTGTCTCATTTATACACTCACTCACCCATACACTCTTTCATTCATACACTCTTTCATTCATACACTCTCCTATTCATACACTCACACATACACTCTCATTAATACACTCACTCACACATACACTCTCATTAATACACTCACTCACACATACACTCTCCTATTCATACACTCACACATACACTCTCATTAATACACTCACCCACACATACACTCTCATTAATACACTCACCCACACATACACTAGCTCATTCATACACTCTCTCACCCACACACTCTTTCATTCATACACTCTCCTATTCATACACTCACACATACACTCTCATTAATACACTCACCCACACATACACTCTCTCATTAATACACTCACCCACACATACACTAGCTCATTAATACAATCATTCACACATACACTCCCATTAATACACTCACTCAAACATACACTAGCTCATTCATACACTCTCTCACCCACACACTCTTTCATTCATCCACTCACTAATACATTCTCTCATACACACACACTTGTACTCATTCACACCCATATCCACTCATGTATCACTCACTCCCGACATCTCCTTCAAAGTTTGCAATAATTGAGACTTTTTGTGCACTAACTCACTCACTCATTCACTCACTCACTCACTCCACCTGTGAAGAATAGGCGGGGTAGAATAGGCCTAGCAACCCATGCTTGTTGTAAGAGGCAACTAACAGGATCAGGCTCGCCGACTTGGTTGATGCAGATCATTGTATCCCAATTGCATTGATCGATGCTCATGATGTCAATCACTGGATTGTCTGGTCCAGACTGGGTTATTAACAGACTGCTGTCATATAGCTTGAATACTGCTGAGTGCGGCATTAAACAACAAAAAACAAAGAAACTCACTCATACACTACACTCTCATAGTTAACCTGATGTTAACCCAAACCAACTCATTTACACTGCACTCTCATAGTCAAACCCAAGTCATTCACTATACGAGGAATACAGTCACTCATGTTCAAAATATGTTTGTAAAGTGACAGTTAGTGAGGTGCTATTGAATTAAGAACTGATTGACATTTTGGTTGGCCTTGTCATTGTGAGTGAGTGAGTTGGGTTCAACGCCGCTTTTAACAGTAATCCAGTTACATCACAGCGGGTCAGCTTAATGTGCAAGGAAAGCTCAAAGTGATGTACGTTTACCACTTCGGGTGCTGACAAACCTAGAAACATAATCGGAGTGAACCGGGATTCGAACCCACAATCATAGGTTTCTGGCGTACCTCCCTTGTCACTGTGAGAGCTAAAATGTGCACAAAAACACGTCAGACCAAGCAATTGTAGCGGCCATAAAATTTCCGAGTCCCGTGATGGGATTAGAACCACGGACCTTCTGATCCGAGGTCGGACGCCTTGTTCACATGACCAAAGAGGTTAACCCCTTCAGCAAGCTGACAAGATAAGGATGTCATCTGTGGGACGACTCCACGCCCTGCTACATACTCCCCCATCAACAGAAGGCACGTCCCAGGCCGCATAGTAGAGTACTGAGGCTTATTTTGCTCAAGTTTAATATGAACGTGCTCAGCCCCACGTTGGGTGCCAATGTAGCGGCCATAACATTTCCGAGTTCCGTGATGGGATTCGAACATTGCAGTGTTGGAGTTTTTAATGTTTTCACTTCAGTCATGAAATGAATGACTTCTGGTTTGTTTAATCAGAAATGTAGACATACACACAATTCTTGTCTGGTGCTGGTGTTGCCCTGACATCTTATTGATGAGGATCTGTTCCATGTGAATCTGTGTGCCTGTAGCAGCCAGAGTATTGACAGTCAGTAGTTGTGGAAGACAGAAATATCGGCTATATCTGTCACAGACAGGTTTGGGAATCCAAATCCAAATTATTATCTGAATCTTTAGCTTACCTAACTGAATGTAAAGTAGTGTATGTCCCTATATGTGATAAATTGTCAGAGGGTGTCAGGGACATTGAGATTTTTTTAATCTATCTCTCAGGGAGAATTTTAAAATAGCAACCATTATATTTTAATGTTATCTGATCATCACACTTTTTTTTACAAAAGCTTAGAACCACAAAGGTCATGTTTATTTATCCATACTCATTGAACATGTTTTCTGGGTCTTCATTTATGCAACATTCAAATAATTAAAAGAATGATAATAAATTAAATTTGTCTCAATTTTATTTCTTTTTCTAAAAAGGACAAAATAAGGACTAGATGTAGTGTAAAATATGTATCTATTTACATTTTGAAATTGAACCTCCATTCGATCATATTGTCAGTTAATAAAGACATAATTTAAATGTAAACTTCATTAAACCACAGGAATACGCAGCTGTAAACACCCATAGTAGTGTTTGTATTGACCCTGTATCCTTTGGCATCCTTGGGGGGCACAGGTGGCCCAGTCGTCTAAGGCGCCGCGATTCGCTGTGCAGAGTTGCGTCCCTTGGGCACGCCAGAAACCTGTGATTGTGGGTTCGAATCCCGGTTTCGCCCCGATTATGTTTCTAGGTTTGACAGCATCATACCCGTGCTCGTGGGTTTCACTGAAGTGGTAAACGTCTGAGACCTGCATCACTTCGGGCTTTCCTCCCACATTAAGCTGACACGCCGCGATATAACTGGAATACTGTTAAAAGCGGCGTTAAACTCAACTCACTCACTTTGGCATCGTTGGATACATGGGTCAATACTGGTAATAATAGAAACGATGCACAATCTACCTATATCACTTTCGGTCAAAGATCAGATAAACACTACCAGATACTGAAATTGGTGAATGATCGGTAGCTTGGCCATTTGACGATGTGTTCAATCCTGATGCAACATGATCGCCCCTAATTTCATTAAAATCTAGTGTGTTTTTCTGTCTGCAGTAATAGTCTTGACTACTTCACCTGACTCGTGAAGATCTGGGGTAGAATAGGTCTTCAGCAACCCGTGTTTGCTGTAAAAGGCGACTATGCTTGTCGCGACTAACGGGATCGGGTGGTCAAGCTCACTGACATGGTTGCTGCATGTCATTGAATCCAAATTGTGTTGCTCAATGCCTTATGATGTCAGTCACTGGATTGTCTGGTCCAGGCTTGATTATTTACAGACCGCCGTCAAATACCTGGAACATTGCTGAATGCGGCATTAAACAACAAACAAACAAACAAAAAATTATAAATTTCCTTGAAATGTTCGCTTTTATTCCATTGCCATGCAATGTTTGCCATATTTGGCAGTGCTATTACATTTTACTACATTGTACATCATATGGACTTAATTACCATGGCTCCGTTCCTCAAAGTGATCTTAGCGCTAGGGTGATCATAAGTCCCATACTTTAACATAGGCTTACGATAATCGTAGCGCTAAGAACACTTTGAGGAACGGGGCCCAGGTGATTACTGGACAAAGATCCCAATAGCGTGAACATGGGTTTAGCAAAGTGGAAAATGTCTAAGACCTGTATTATTCTGGTGTTTGTACCATTCAAGCTGGTGGTGAGATATGACTGATACATTGCTGAGGAGATACCAAACTTTGAAATTTGAGGTAGTCTAACTGTAGATTAGATACCTTGTTTTTTTAATTTAGCACTGAACCTTTTGTTAGTCACAAAAACATTTGATAATATTCCAATATTGAATATATGCAATTCTATTACATTCTAGCAGTGATGTATAGGCTATCAAGAGATCAATGTTTTCAAACCTAAGGTTTTTGTGTGAAAGGGCATGTTAGTTTTGACCAATTGCTATCAAGCATTCTTCAGTGTCATCAGTAGAAAGTTCAATAAACCTTACATACTCAATCACTCCCTCATTCGCTGCCTTGAGTGTAATGAATGGCTAGCCTGTGTAAATCTTTTCCTGTCAAATGTAAGTCTGTCTGGCCTGGTGTTAATCTTGCCTTGCCAGCTGCTGCTCTAGCGTAGCCACCGTCTGGCACACATGATCAGATGATACAGCTGAAGACTTTCTTCAGGACATTCTTTTTCACTTGTATTTTGTGTGAAAATTCCTGGTTGGTAGATGGGAAGGTTTTTAAAAAAAAAAAAAAAAATATGTATTTTAATGGATCTTCAAAATGCATCAGAATATGATGCTGTGTAGGCACGGTTGGGTAGCCAAGTGGTTAAAGCGTTCGCTCGTCACGCCGAAGACCTGGGTTCAATTCCCGACATGGGTACAATGTGTGAAGCCCATTTCTGGTGTCCCCCACCGTGATATTGCTGGAATATTGCTAAAAGCGGCGTAAAACCATACTCACTCACCCTGAAAACGTTTTGGGGGCGGTCAGGTAGCCTAGTGGTTAATGTGTTCGCTCGTCACGCCGAAGACCTGGGTTCAATTCCCGACATGGGTACAATGTGTGAAGCCCATTTCTTGTGTCCCCCGCCGTGATATTGCTGGAATATTGCTAAAAGTGGCGTAAAACCATACTAACTCACTGTTACTATGTATACAGTGTCCACTTATCTCGTCACTTGCATGAGCTATTATAATTTCTTCTTTTTTTCATCTTTAACTTTAGGTCCCACTGGTCTGCTAACCATTTGGTAAAAGTATTGCAACAGTAACTAGTTAATAAATGGATGTAACCGAATAATCAAACCCAAATGAGCAACAAAATTGGAAGAGACCCATTTTCCCTTATAGTCACCTTAGGGCTGTGATATATCAGGAGAGTGACAATATGGCGACGGTCAGAGAGACTCATCTCCCGGTAATGGTTGTCCATATATTTCAGGAGCGAGTGACAACACTAGAGGCCCATGTGGAAGAAGCCAGGAAGAGAATGGTGCAGCTCGAATTGCTCAAGAAGGTAAGAGTTGTCTCCCTTCCTGAAATCTGAGATCACACCTGAAACGAGAGCTTTACTGGAGTATTTAAATATTCATTTCTACCCTGGAAGTATCTATGTCTCCATGGGGTAATTCTTCAAGTATGGCGTATGAATTATGTAAAGAACTCATCTTTTCCACAGTCTGGTGCTCTTTTCCAGTCTTGGTCTTGATGTAGAAACAATTATTGCCTGTTGTGAAACTAATTTTTAAGACATTATCTGTGTCTTACGACGATAACAATAAGCTGATTTATTTATGTTCATTTATATGTGTTATTGATATGATCTAATAATGAACTAATCTGATAAACTTGGTATCATGCTGCGCTAGATATGCAAATGAGTTCACCTACCGGAATTGTTTTTTTAAAGAAAAGAATTTATGGATGTCAACTTCTTTATTATGAGGAATACAACGTTTTGGAGTATATACTTACTCCTTCATCAGGTGAATAAATGCTATGAAGCAGAGAACATATATATGTACATGTAAGAACAACAAAAGTAATATGATAACAAAGGTGGAGGTGAGGTGAAATGGGGTTTAACGTCGCGTCCAAGATTATTGCACTTATACAGCGACGTGCATGTACGTGTGTGTGATTGTGTGGCTGCTTGTACTAGTCCGGACTGATGCCGATTTATAGTGCTAGCTCACTGAGATACCATGCCGCAGTTTAACATGAATACCCCACTCAGACACAGTATACTGACTCTGAGCTGACCAGTCCTTGTTTAAGCCCCTTAATGCCGAGCGCCAGACAGGGTAACAACAAGTACCATCTTTTAACGTCTGTTGGTATGACGCGGTCGGGGATCGAACCCCGGACCTTTCGCTCTCCGGGCGGACGCGCTACCACTAGACCACGGAGGCGGTATAACAAAGGTGGAAAGATAACATCAATTCTATCTCATCAGTTTCATCCTTGTATTGTTATCTTTGTACATTCATCCCACCTTGTGTTGTGTATATATAATAACTCTATGCACTTACTCAGCTTTCACCAGATGAAGGAGCAAGAAGTAGCTCTGAAATATCGTGACAAAGAATTAAAGAAGTTGCTGTCCATAAAAGTGTCATGTGTTCATGTTCTTCTAACTTCTAAATGCCTATCAAAGATTTCAAAAATAAGTGTTGGATATTATGCTTGAATTGTTTGAAAGGCATTACTTAGAAGTTGACGGATGACAAAGTAGACACAATTTATAGATAACAACTTCTTTAATACTGTAAAAGCGATGTTTCAGAAAAGATCCTTATAGCGTTGTCAAGCAAGACTGAATGAAGAACATTGTCCAGACTATATATAGTAGGTGGGGATAAACAGTAACAACATTTGCATACATGAAAGGGATAACATGACGACAGAAGAGTAATACTGTCACAACATGATGGACAGAGAACACATGGGTGGAAGCCAAAGGGACATGAAGCCAATTAAACACGATACGTCGCCTTTACAGTATTAAAGAAGTTGTTATCCATAAATTGTGTCTGCTTTATATGTTATGTTTGCTTAAGGCTCGCAGTTATTTTTGATATGTTGACAAAAACATTTAAAATTAAAGTAACAATTATTTAAACTTATTAAATAATAACTGTCCAATGCATTTTATGAAGTCACTGACAACTGCAAACAAGGAGAATTATAGCCACTTCAGAAGTAAATACATATACAAGTTATTGTTATAATATTAATAACCAGTATTTTAAACAGTATTAGTATTAAGTTTTCCCACTTAGCAGACCAAGCCAAACTACATTTTGTGAAATAAACTTATTCAGCTGTCAAAGTTTAATTATATATCAGCGGTAGAAACTAACATTTTAAGTCCACTAGTCCTCATTATGATAACTTGTAGCAAAACCCTTAAAAATGTCAAATTTCTTCAAGTCCATATGATACCGTAACTATTGGACAGTTTGGCAAAGACTACTGGACTAATGCTATGTGTTATCAGATCATGAACAAGGTATCGTGATGCATATCGGATCACACAGTTGGTGTATCGTCCCAGCCTTAATGTCAACCGGCTTTTGAAAGCAAGCCCGCCACTGATGTTTATCAGTGAAACCTTTTATTTCATGCAACATACCTATTACTAGAACAATTTATCCATGTGTGCACCATTTTTTATTAAACATTTACAGCTCTGTATGCTTGGCTGACGCGCTTCAGTCCAGATAAAATTATTTTTGTGGATTCAATTCTTCTTTTGCCCTTATTATCCTTATAGGTTTGTCAGAACCATACCTGTGTTCATGTGTTTCACCAACATGGTACACGTCTAAGACCTGCATCACTTTGAGCTTTGTTCTCACATCAAGCGAAAAAAGCGGTAAAAGATGGTACTTGTTGTTACCCTGTCTGGCGCTCGGCATTGAGGGGCTAAAACAAGGACTGGTTGGCTTGGAGTCAGTATACTGTGTCAGAGTAGGGTATTCATGTTAAACTGCGACATGGTATCTCAGTGAACTAGCACTATAAATCAGCATCAGTCTGGACTAGTGCAAGCAGCCACACACACACGTGCATGCACGTCGCTATATAAGTGAGATAATCTTGGATGAGACGTTAAACCAAATTTCACCTGACCTTTCACCTCACATCAAGTTGATATAACTGAAATTCTGTTAAAAGCAGCGTTAAAACCAACTCAGTGACTCACTATTCCAGGAGAAGGCCCATCTGTCAGCTGAGGTCCATGCTCAGGAATCGGTGATCGATGGCCTTAAGGCCGAGAGGAAGCTTTGGGGGCAGGAACTGGCTCAGCAAGGTGAGCTACATAGACAATCTTACCCTTGTGACATTTTATATGTAATATTGTAACATGGGGCGATAAAAAAACACCAAGTCTTGGCAAGGAATTTTAAACTTTTGTAATTTTATCATCCACAATTATTCTGCCAACTATTTCAGTTTGTAACAGTAATCACCAGTGTCTTGAGTGTACAGCTGACCAGCGTCAGTGACGGAGAAAATACTGCTGTCATTTGATCAACAGTTACCATGATGTCACAATGGTCTGCAAATTGGGGAAAAATCATTATTTATTACTATTTGTGAAAATTTCTTCAAAATAGATGTATTTTAACACTACATTCAATGCAATTATGGACAACTGTGCATTAAAGCTTCAATTTCATATATAGTCAGATCATAGGTTTTTGGACGGCCATGTTTATCGCAATTGCTCGCGCTATAACTGGGGGTGTAGTATCTCGTTGGCGTTGTATGTACTCAGGATTGGTTTTAAGAGAAAGTTGTTTTTTTATTAGTGAATGAGATGTTTTACAGTTGTTCAAGTGATTAGAGAGAAAACTATGAATGTTTCTTAAGCATCCGAAAACCAATAACATGGGGATGTATATGAGATAAACCTGATGTACGTGAGGTTTGAAGGTTAAAACATTTATAGGTATTGAATCAGTTTTGGGTTTTTTATAAGATGATAGTCAAAGTATACCAGACAGTAAAAACTCCATTGTGGAAAGTTGGCATTGTGGTCATCATACTATCACAATACATGTATTAAAATAATTTCAACTTTCCTGTAAACACCCTCAATGTTTACTTGTGTGTTTTCAGGTTCATCTTTGGCTCAGGATCGAGGTCGCCTGGAGTCCAGGATTGAGATCCTCAACCAGGAGAACGCCACACTCAAGAAACAGCTTGAGGTCAGACAATGTGTTGATATTTCATTGCTGTAAATTAAAAACTTGCAGCCTAATCTGTCTGGAATCAGTGAAACCATCAAACAATATTCATTACCATCCAACCAAAGATGATTCTTGCCTTCAATCAAATAGGAGGCTTCCTCATTGATTCAACATTGGTAAAATATAAATTGAAATGTTATGTTCCAGAGAGAGACTGATGGTCTGAGAATCAAGTCCAAGGTGATTGATGACCAAACAGAAACAGTTCGCAAACTAAAGGAGGTGAGACTTTCAGAGGCTTCTGTCTCAGCAGGCCAACACGTGTCCAAACATTAGCCACAGAGACACAGAACAAACAGCAGACCAACATGTGTCCTACATTAGCCACAGAGGCACAGAACAAACAGCTGACCAACATGTGTCCTACATCAGCCACAGAGACACAGAACAAACAGCTGACAGACACGTGTGTCCTACATTAGCCACAGAGGCACAGAACAAACAGCTGACCAACATGTGTCCCTACATTAGCTACAGAGACACAAACAGTAGACCAACATATGTCGTACATCAGCCACAGAGACACAGAACAAACAGCTGACCAACATGTGTCCCTACATTAGCCACAGAGACACAGAACAAACAGCAGACCAACATATGTCGTACATCAGCCACAGAGAAACAGAACAAACAGCTGACAAACATGTGTCCTACATTAGCCACAGAGGCACAGAACAAACAGCTGACCAACATGTGTCCTACATCAGCCACAGAGACACAGAACAAACAGCAGACCAACTGTGTCCTACATCAGCCACAGAGACACAGAACAAACAGCTGACAAACATGTGTCCTACATTAGCCACAGAGACACAGAATAAACAGCAGACCAACTGTGTCCTACATCAGCCACAGAGACACAGAACAAACAGCTGACAGACACGTGTGTCCTACATTAGCCACAGAGGCACAGAACAAACAGCTGACCAACATGTGTCCCTACATTAGCTACAGAGACACAAACAGTAGACCAACATATGTCCTACATCAGCCACAGAGACACAGAACAAACAGCTGACCAACATGTGTCCCTACATTAGCCACAGAGACACTGAACAAACAGCAGACCAACATATGTCGTACATCAGCCACAGAGAAACAGAACAAACAGCTGACAAACATGTGTCCTACATTAGCCACAGAGGCACAGAACAAACAGCTGACCAACATGTGTCCAACATCAGCCACAGAGACACAGAACAAACAGAAGACCAACTGTGTCCTACATCAGCCACAGAGACACAGAACAAACAGCTGACAAACATGTGTCCTACATTAGCCACAGAGACACAGAACAAACAGCAGACCAACTGTGTCCTACATCAGCCACAGAGACACAGAACAAACAGCTGACAAACATGTGTCCTACATTATCCACAGAGGCACAGAACAAACAGCTGACCAACATGTGTCCCTACATTAGCTACAGAGACACAAACAGCAGACCAACATATGTCGTACATCAGCCACAGAGAAACAGAACAAACAGCAGACCAACATGTGTCTTACATCAGCCACAGAGACACAGAACAAACAGCTGACCAACATGTGTCCTACATTAGCCACAGAGACACAGAACAAACAGCTGACCAACTGTGTCCTACATTAGCCACAGAGACACTGAACAAACAGCAGACCAACATGTGTCTTACCTCAGCCACAGAGAATCAGAACAAACAGCTGACCAACATATGTCCCTTCATCAGCCACAGAGACACAGGGTGTCCCTACATAGGCCACAGAGACACAGGGTGTCCCTACATTAGCCACAGAGACACAGGGTGTCCCTACAACAGCCACAGAGACACAGGGTGTCCCTACATTAGCCACAGAGACACAGGGTGTCCCTACATTAGCCACAGAGACACAGGGTGTCCCTTAATCAGCCACAGAGACACAGGGTGTCCCTTCATTAGCCACAGAGACACAGGGTATCCCTACATTAGCCACAGAGACACAGGGTGTCCCTACATTAGCCACAGAGACACAGGGTGTCCCTACATTAGCCACACAGACCCAGGGTGTCCCTACATTAGCCACAGAGACACAGGGTGTCCCTACATCAGCCACAGAGACACAGGGTGTCCCTACATTAGCCACAGAGACACAGGGTGTCCCTACATTAGCCACACAGACACAGGGTGTCCCTACATTAGCCACACAGACACAGGGTGTCCCTACATTAGCCACAGAGACACAGGGTGTCCCTACATTAGCCACACAGACACAGGGTGTCCCTACATCAGCCACACAGACACAGGGTGTCCCTACATTAGCCACAGAGACACAGGGTGTCCCTACATTAGCCACACAGACACAGGGTGTCCCTACATTAGCCACAGAGACACAGGGTGTCCCTACATTAGCCACACAGACACAGACAGCTGGATGTATTTATGGCTTAATCGCCCTGCATACAAACTGACAAATCTCCTTTGAAACGTCCCTGGCATGCTTTGTGTACACTTTTCAGAGGAGCACTAATTGTTTTCCAAGTAAGAGGTTCTTATGTTACTGAATTTGTTTTGATTGATTGTAATTATATCCCTGTCTTTCTGACGTTTTAGGTCAATCGATCCGAGCTCAAGTAATAAAAGTTGTCTGCCTTAATATCATACTACATTGTTGACGTGGGTTACCGTGGAGACAAGCCTGTTTTGGAACAGATTCCTCTTAATCTTGGTGATAAAACGTTAGAAATCCAATCTGACAGACAAGATAGACTTCAAGACATTATAAACTGAAACTTGGTGATGTAATTATTTCATGAAAATGAATACGATCACAATTGTTTTTCTCATTGAAAAGTTGAAAGTCCCTTGCCTACATTGTCATATTATCCTTTCCAGAAACATGGCATACAACAATGTCTTGTGATTCATTTTTAATGAGAATGTAACAATGTGTAACAATATCGCTTATGTTTATTCTTCTCTCCAGCACAATAGAACTTTTGAGGTTTTGTATCGATGTAACATAGATGTAATAATATAGTTTAGCGTTTTTAGCTTACCTGATTGAAAGTCAGTTAAACACTTTTAATATTACTTGATTTATTCATACAGGTAAAGGCTTTTAGTTACTTGAATAATCCAACCAGTTAAAGGTTTCAAATTAATTGAATATTGCATACAGGTAAAGACTTTTAATTACTTGAATAATGCACATTTCAATAATGCAAACAGATTTTTAAAGGCTTGAGGATATACAGTTAGAAACTTTCTTCTTTACTTCTATTTAATTTCATCCTCGATTACCCACTCTATTTTCTCTCCATTGCCTCCATTACCCAGTGTAATTTGACTCCATTGCCTCCATTACCCAGTGTATTTTCTCTCCTTAGCCTCCATTACCCAGTGTATTTTCTCTCCATTGCCTCCATTACCCAGTGTATTTTCTCTCCATTGCCTCTATTACCCAGTGTATTTCTCTCCATTGCCTCCATTACCCAGTGTATTTTCTCTCCTTGGCCTCTATTACCCAGTGTATTTTCTCTCCATTGCCTCCATTACCCAGTGTATTTTCTCTCCATTGCCTCCATTACCCAGTGTATTTTCTCTCCATTGCCTCTATTACCCAATGTATTTTCTCTCCATTGCCTCCATTACCCAGTGTATTTTCTCTCCATTGCCTCTATTACCCAATGTATTTTCTCCCCATTGCCTCTATTACCCAGTGCATTTTCTCTCCATTGCCTCTATTACCCAGTGTATTTTCTCTCCATTGCCTCTAGCCCAGTGTATTTTCTCTCCATTGTCTCCATTACCCAGTGTATTTTCTCTCCATTGCCTCTATAACCCAGTGTATTTTCTTTCCATTGCCTCCATTACCCAGTGTATTTTCTCTCCATTGCCTCTATAACCCAGTGTATTTTCTCTCCATTGCCTCCATTACCCAGTATATTTTCTCTCCATTGCCTCTATTACCCAGTGTATTTTCTCCCCATTGCCTCCATTACCCAGTGCATTTTCTCTCCATTGCCTCTGTTACCCAGTGTATTTTCTCTCCATTGCCTCTATTTGCCCAGTGTATTTTCTCTCCATTGTCTCCATTACCCAGTGTATTTTCTCTCCATTGCCTCTATTACCCAGTGTATTTTCTCTCCATTGCCTCCATTACCCAGTGTATTTTCTCTCCATTGCCTCCATTACCCAGTGTATTTTCTCTCCATTGCCTCTATTACCCAGTGTATTTTCTCCCCATTGCCTCCATTACCCAGTGCATTTTCTCTCCGTTGCCTCTATTACCCAGTGTATTTTCTCTCCATTGCCTCTATTACCCAGTGTATTTTCTCTCCATTGTCTCCATTACCCAGTGTATTTTCTCTCCATTGCCTCCATTACCCAGTGTATTTTCTCTCCATTGCCTCTATTACCCAGTGTATTTTCTCCCCATTGCCTCTATTACCCAGTGTATTTTCTCTCCATTGCCTCAATTACCCAGTGTATTTTCTCTCCATTGTCTCCATTACCCAGTGTATTTTCTCTCCATTGCCTCTATTACCCAGTGTATTTTCTCTCCATTGCCTCCATTACCCAGTGTATTTTCTCTCCATTGCCTCCATTACCCAGTGTATTTTCTCTCCATTGCCTCTATTACCCAGTGTATTTTCTCCCCATTGCCTCCATTACCCAGTGTATTTTCTCTCCATTGCCTCTATTACCCAGTGTATTTTCTCTCCATTGCCTCTATTACCCAGTGTATTTTCTCTCCATTGCCTCCATTACCCAGTGTATTTTCTCTCCATTGCCTCCATTACCCAGTGTATTTTCTCTCCATTGCCTCTATTACCCAGTGTATTTTCTCCCCATTGCCTCCATTACCCAGTGTATTTTCTCCCCATTGCCTCCATTACCCAGTGTATTTTCTCTCCATTGCCTCTATTACCCAGTGTATTTTCTCTCCATTGCCTCCATTACCCAGTGTATTTTCTCCCCATTGCCTCTATTACCCAGTGTATTTTCTCTCCATTGCCTCAATTACCCAGTGTATTTTCTCTCCATTGTCTCCATTACCCAGTGTATTTTCTCTCCATTGCCTCTATTACCCAGTGTATTTTCTCTCCATTGCCTCCATTACCCAGTGTATTTTCTCTCCATTGCCTCCATTACCCAGTGTATTTTCTCCCCATTGCCTCTATTACCCAGTGTATTTTCTCCCCATTGCCTCTATTACCCAGTGTATTTTCTCTCCATTGCCTCAATTACCCAGTGTATTTTCTCTCCATTGCCTCCATTACCCAGTGTATTTTCTCCCCATTGCCTCTATTACCTAGTGTATTTTCTCTCCATTGCCTCTATTACCCAGTGTATTTTCTCTCTATTGCCTCCATTACCCAGTGTATTTTCTCTCCATTGCCTCCATTACCCAGTGTATTTTCTCTCCATTGCCTCTATTACCCAGTGTATTTTCTCTCCATTGCCTCTATTACCCAGTGTATTTTCTCTCCATTGCCTCCATTACCTAGTGTATTTTCTCTCCATTGCCGCCATTACCCAGTGTATTTTCTCCCCATTGCCTCTATTACCCAGTGTATTTTCTCTCCATTGCCTCTATTACCCAGTGTATTTTCTCTCCATTGCCTCCATTACCCAGTGTATTTTCTCTCCATTGCCTCAATTACCCAGTGTATTTTCTCTCCATTGCCTCTATTACCCAGTGTATTTTCTCTCCATTGCCTCCATTACCCAGTATATTTTCTCTCCATTGCCTCTATTGCCCAGTGTATTTTCTCTCCATTGCCTCAATTACCCAGTGTATTTTCTCTCCATTGCCTCTATTACCTAGTGTATTTTCTCTCCATTGCCTCTATTACCCAGTGTATTTTCTCTCCATTGCCTCCATTACCCAGTATATTTTCTCTCCATTGCCTCTATTACCCAGTGTATTTTCTCTCCATTGCCTCCATTACCCAGTGTATTTTCTCTCCATTGCCTCCATTACCCAGCGTATTTTCTCTCCATTGCCTCCATTACCCAGTGTATTTTCTCTCAACACACACACATTTGCTATGGAGTTATGACAACATGCAGCACGCTTGATATTAAAAACTATTCACGAAAGTTTACAGCACTGATCTCATTAATTACTCACTTACATATGAGAGGGGAACAACATACAAACAAGGTAAATTATTGTTTACAAATTAAAGTTAAATTCAAAAAGTTGGAAGTCAGACCCTAATAAGATATGGAGAACATACGTTGTGTCACACAACAAATAAAACAAACCAGGTGTTCATTTTATTAGGTCATCGTTGTACTTTCACCAAATACATGTAATCAGATAGGAAACAGCATGAAATTTATGAGAGCCGGTGGTTACCCTATGGTTGAACCGAATCAGTGGTTGGTCATGGCTGTACTCTCACCAAATACATGAAATCAGATAGGAAACAGCATGAAATTTATGAGAGCCGGTGGTTACCCTGCGGTTGAACCGAATCTGCGGTATCCTGAAGGGCATTATTGTGAGGAACAACTGTATTATGAAAATACCCGGAACCCATTCACCACCACAGTTTAATTCTGGAAGTGACATTACCTTCTCAATCAGTAACCTTGCACAGAATTTCTCTTGCTCATGACTGTAATTTGAGTGGACCGATATGTTTATCACTGCCTATTTCAAATCAGACTCAAAATAGAGCGAAGGTGGCAAATTCACAGACTGAAGCTATAAAACCTGAATTGTTGAAGAGGATGTTATTGTCTCTTTGCTCTTCCTCTAGGGCCTTGTTGAACGAGACGGAGAAATAAGAAAAGCTCGTGAAGAAACTCTGAAAGTACAACAGGACTTAGAAGCACAGCTTTTGGAGGAGAGAACAGCCAATCAGGACACCCAGGTGAGTCACATGATACTATTTTGAAAAACTGATACCCGAGTCTTTATATGGCCCATAATGTCTTTGCAAATGTTAAATATGTTTTCTTCTCACAATGTTAAATGTGGATGACTTTTGTCATTTGGTATTTTTTTCAGCTCAAATTCATGGCCATTTTTGCTTTTTTATGCAGCGTAGCAAAATTTTAGTATCTTTGTCTGGGAATGTGGTATCTGTCAAGATAAAACATATTTTTGTCACACTATTTTGTAAAAGATCAAATTGGAGGTCATGGCTTAATCAATGCTTGACAGCGTGAAGTGTTTTACCCCCAAGTCAGCAATACAGCTATGTCATAGGATCCTGTATGTATCTTTAGCCGGGACCAGGCAAACCAGTGGTTGATATAATGAACACCAATGAAGTTAATGACACAAACGTCAAAATCAAATAATTATCCAGTCCAGACAAGCATTGGACCACATTTTCTCATGAAGCTTAATAAAAAGTGCAAGGCATATTAACTTCCAAAAAAAACTAGTTGGAGACAGCATCAATACTTTACTGGTCAGTGTATACACTATGTTTGTTTGTTGTTTAACGCCGCATTCAGCAATATTCCAGCTATATGATGGCGGGCTTAACGCCGCACTCAGCAATATTCCAGCTATATGATGGCGGTCTGTAAATAATCGAGTCTGGACCAGACAATCCAGTGATTAATATCATGAGCATCAATCCACGCAATTGGGATCGATGATATGTATCAACCAAGTCAGCGAGCCTGACCACCCGATCCCGTTAGTCACCTCTTACAACAAGCACAGTCGCCTTTTACGGCAATCATGGGTTGCTGAAGACCTATTCTCTGCCAGATCTTCACGGGGTTGTATACACTATGTTCCACTGTCACACATGATATTGAACGTTGGGGTGACCTGTGTCAGCTGATGAAACAAAACTGTGCATAAGTCGTGGAGGTCAAATGAGCCCTACTCCATGTTTCAACTTTGCGCTAACCCTGTCATTGCTTGGCATTAAGGCCATGTGTAGAGCAGATAACACAGGAGCTACTGCTGGTTATCCTTTCACTGCAACCAGACTGTCACTTTATTCAGTGAGATGTAAACTGAGCTCTCATTGGTCGGAGCCACTGCTGGTTATCCTTTCACTGCAACCAGACTGTCACTTTATTCAGTGAGATGTAAACTGAGCTCTCATTGGTCGGAGCCACTGCTGGTTATCCTTTCACTGCAACCAGACTGTCACTTTATTCAGTGAGATGTAAACTGAGCTCTCATTGGTCGGAGCCACTGCTGGTTATCCTTTCACTGCAACCAGACTGTCACTTTATTCAGTGAGATGTAAACTGAGCTCTCATTGGTCGGAGCCACTGCTGGTTATCCTTTCACTGCAACCAGACTGTCACTTTATTCAGTGAGATGTAAACTGAGCTCTCATTGGTCGGAGCCACTGCTGGTTATCCTTTCACTGCAACCAGACTGTCACTTTATTCATTGGTGACCCAGCAGGAGAAAAGGGACCTTATGGCTGCTAGGATACAAATGTGCTGTGACGTTATTAACTGACGTCAGCTTACTACCGTAAAAAATGGCCATGTGTGGGGACTGTACAAAAATATCTTTTTTTGTAATGTAATAAGAACATTTTATTACTTGCCCGTTTAATTAACATACAGCTGTATTACACATTGTGTAATACCAACACGCGTGCTTATGTACTGCGGGAACAAGTTACATTAACGACCCTTGAAAGCTCTCAACATCTCTTGGCATTTTCAACGACACTGTGTTTGGAGATGATAGATCACAGAGAGGAGCTTATGCACACTCAGTGACCCCAGCAACCTTGTTGCAAGGCTGACGTCACATGGTATCGTTTCGCCGATGGATCTTGCAACAAAATTTCACTAATTGCGTCATCAGGTATTGTGACGTGATTATAAACTTTGTGGTGCAGGGCCCCGTTCCACAAGGCGATCGCACTTGTTAAAGTATGTGAGTTACGATAACCTTAGCACTACGATAATATTGTGGAACGGATGCCTGAATTCTAAAGGTGAGCGGATGTAAGGTATCAAATTAATATGTGTCGTTTTACGTGTTTGAAGTATTATTCTGTTAAACTCAATTGGACTACTTTGTGGATCGTGTAGGTGTCTGCCTATTTATACACGACAGTGTAATTCTAAAAAAAGTTATAAATGGCAAGTAATTAATAAAATAAACTCATGAATAGTTCTGGTATGTGATTTGCTTTCGCTTGTCAAATACCAGTACTAATCACTCGTTTCATAAAATTAGTATTCTATATATTTCAAACATTTCAGCATACATATTTACTTTCAATTAATCAGACATTATATCTAAAAACTGCAATAAACACATGAACAGTTTTAAGTCTGAAAATTGGATTTTGCAGAAAATGGGTCCTAATGTTTAATGCTATTTATCTCTGTAAGAAATATGAATCGAAGCTTGTGAATTGTATTAATGTGTTCCTACAATACTGTAGTTTTAAAAAGTAATGAGAAGTCAAATGTGATTTTTCACCTATGAGGTCCCTCATCTCATGGTTGGTCACATATATTGACTACACTCCGAAGCAGCTGTATCTATTAATGGGTGATGGGGAAGCAGTGTAATTAACACTGTGTAGTACTGATGACTTTTGGAGACCTTGGTTACCATAGGTCTCACCCTACTGCTTGCTTTGAGAGGTGACAACGGTGGATTACCTAGTAAGGGTGGTCATCTTATACACGGAGTCGAAGATCTCATGGTTTTTTAAATTTTATTTTAGTGGCACCAATTTGGTGTCGCACCGTGTAAACATAAAATGGCGACGTGTGCTGGTATTACGCATGCGACCAATCATCGTAGAAAAAAAAAATGCAAGATAAACATATTGTTATTGCAAATATAAGGTTTCATTCCAGGTCGCTTTATACACGGAGTATAGGATTTGGGGTCGATTTTGAAGGCATGTACAGCGGGGTCATCTTGTTCATGGGGTCGCTATATACACAGCGATATATGGTAGCTAGAATAATGCTCACACAACAAACAAAGCATGATTGGTTCAAGGCCACAATCATGAATTATCACAGACTAATGTTCTTTAATAGAATCTATGGGGGCACAATTCCTTGTGCAGAGTTGCGTCCCTTGGGCACACCAGAAACCTATGATTGTGGGTTCGAATCCCAGTTCATCCCAATTATGTAACTAGGTTTGTCAGCACCATACCCATTCTCGTTTCTGCAAAGTGGTAAACGTCTGAGACCTGCATCACTTCGCGCTTTCCTCACACATTATGCTGACACGCCGTGATATAACTGGAATACTGTTAAAAGCGGCATTGAACCCAACTTACTCATTCACTCACTAACAGCCACTACATGTGTGCTTCTCCTTGATTTTTCAGGATGCAATGGACCATTTGCGAGGACGGAAAGATGAGCTGAAACGAGAAGTTTCCTCTTTACGTGATGAGCTTGCGGAGTCCCAGAAGGCACACAGGTGAATGTTTAGAGAGTACAGAAACTGATTATACAGACTTCCAATTGACTGTTTGACGACACTAATAGCATAGAATAGGCTAAATGTGTCAAAAGGCTGATTTTCCTAAACAGTACAAACGTATGATAAAACTGCTCATCTTGGGTCAAGGACATCCAGCAACAAGTACAGAAACTGATTATACAGACTTCCGATGACTGTTTGACGACACTAAAAGCATAGAATAGGCTAAATGTGTCAAAAGGCTGATTTTCCTAAACAGTACAAACGTATGATAAAACTGCTCATCTTGGGTCAAGGACATCCAGCAACAAGTACAGAAACTGATTATACAGACTTCCGATGAATGTTTGACGACACTAAAAGCATAGAATAGGCTAAATGTGTCAAAAGGCTGATTTTCCTAAACAGTACAAACGTATGATAAAACTGCTCATCTTGGGTCAAGGACATCCAGCAACAGACGTGTGTATGTTGATTGCAATGACTGATGTATTTCAGCATCCTGAACACTCGCTGGAGAGAGAAATCTGCTCTGATTGGTCAGCTGGAACACCAGGTGTCACAAATGAAGGACTCATGGGAAGGCAAGGAGGAGAAGCTAACAGGAGAGAGAAACAAGGCGATCGAAGCAGCAAAGTAAGTTGTTTTTTGTGTGAAATAAATGTAACTTTCAAATAATACAATTATTCTTGCAGGTCTGAAACGTGGAAGTTTAGATACTTGGGGGTTTGATGTTTGTTGCTACGTTTGACCCCAGTATATATACCCAAAATACTGAAATAGCAGTGCTGACAACAACTTTGGTTTAAGGGCTACCCAGAGAGCAGAAGATTGGGGGTTAGATCTCCGTCCGTGTCATATCTATAGACGTTAAAGACAGTACTTGTTGTTACCCAGCCTGTCACTTGGCATTAAGGGAATAAAATAAGCATTGTTGGCTCAGATTTACAAAATATTTCCACTGACCCCCCAACCCATGAATTTCAAACACAATTCATGTGAAGGAAAAGGTACCATTCCGCCAAATTCTTTTTTCAGCAATTTATGGTAATTGTTGTTTTAAAAGTGAGAATGGCGAAATTGCTGGTTCCAATCAGTTTTCAAAAGACTTTGCGACGTTTCACAAAGATCAATTTTGACATGATGAAAATTTGAATGAAAAGCTCCCAAAATTCTCATCTACATTTTAGACAAATTGACTTACATGAAATCAATAGAACAAAATGGCAAACAAGTATAATCACAAGAGATAGGTCAGGCAGAAAATTGTAATGGTTGGAAGTGTTACATGTGTTAGCATGATCTTTGGAGCATAAACAAGTAATGTAATGTAATGCCTAACCACTTGATCCCATTAGTCACCTCTTACGACAAGCATAGTCGCCTTTTACAGTAAGCTGGGGTTTCTGAAGACCTATTCTACGTGGATGAGTAGCCCTTTGCCTTTAATTTTAAGATTCTTTTACAAAATTGCCAAGAACAAGACTCAGTCATACACGATCAGCAACTGCCATATCTGTTCACTTATGTAAACAACCTGAGACTTCCTAACGAGAAACACTCAGTCAGTGCTAAAATACATTGTTTATTTTAGATTTGTGATAAATGCCATTGTTTTCCAGGGTTGTTACCAGATATACAATAAAGAGAGAATATTTGTCTTTTCTTGTCGAATAACATGTAAAGATGATATAAACATGTTATTTGACAAGAAAAGGACAAATGATCTATTTATTCTGTATTTTCTTGCATCTTTTTTTATCATACCATAGTGTCATTGAGACAGGCTGAAAGTAGTTCCAGCATAAAGGGTTATTTATTTATAAAAATAAAAAAAATTATTTGGATGTAAATATAGTATTTCATCACTAAATACCGTATTTGACGTAATAAGCGCCCATGGCGATATTTGCTAATATATGGGCTAGTGAACAATCCCAATAGCACCCTTCCGATTGATCAATGTACACAAGACTTATTTATTTGTGTAAAATACGCACTCGTGTGTTATATGCACCCTTAATTACGGGCAATTCAATTCTGGAAAAAATATATCTGTCGTGTATAATACACACAGACTTTTCTTTTGTATCATTTCAGGCTGTCAGCGTAAACCACGAAATTTATGATCTTTCAACGCTTTCACCAAAATTATATTCTAAAAAGAGCCCCCTATTTCTAATTTTGAGAGCGCCTTGGGCACTTATAACGTTGAATACGGTATGTAATAAAGTCCCATATGCCCATCTTCCTGAGGCAAGCGTGTCCACTAGCCTTTAATTATGAAAGTCTAGTATTCACCCTCGCCATGTGTTTTCATACCCGGCGGCGTGGATGGTTGCTCACAATATTGATCAATGGATTTTCTGGTCCAGACTCAATTTATTTACAGGCTGTTGGCCTGTAGACGGAATATTGCCAAGTACAGCATTAAGCAACAAACAAACAAATATAAACTATTACACTGATGAACTATGTACATTATTTCCTCTTTAAAGGAAGGCCTAACATAAGGGGCCAGGTGTTGTAGTAAGATTTTGAAATTAGAGTCCGCCATCAAACAATGTTTGGGTCAGCTACAAATAATGATTTCTCCTCATTATATTCAAACACAGTTTCATTTACGAAACGATGCCCGTCCCTACTTGTCGGTAAACTGAAGTTAATAAGGGCTCTTTGAAAGGGAATAATGGACCCCCTTTCACCATTTATGTGTTTGTATGACAGAAAATAGGAGTCCAATTATTGTTTGTTGTCCAGCCTGGCCATAGAGAAGCTGCGGGGGATGGATGATGCGTTCCGCAAACAGCTGGAGGCCAAGGAGAAATCCCACCAAGAGGAGATAAATCTTGTCAAGGAACAGAAGGAACGGGAATTGCAGGAAGCAAACAGAAGGGTATGACTCATGAACAGCAGTTGTCTCCCCCTAACAGCAGACTTGGAGCTATATTGTATAGAAACCTGTTCTAATTTAACAGTTCACATTATTTGACTGACACTTTGAAACTCCAATACATCAACATAGAATTACGATGGGCAAAGCACTGACACTTTTGCAACTCCAATACATTAACATAGATTTACGATGGGCAAAGCACTGACACTTTGTAACTCCAATACATTAACATAGATTTAGGATGGGCAAAGCACTGACACTTTGTAACTCCAATACATTAACATAGATTTAGGATGGGCAAAGCACTGGCACTTTTAAACTCCAATACTTAAACATAGACTTACCATGGTCGTGCACTGCTACATTTGTAACTCCAATACATAGATTTACGATTGATGCATGCAGTAGGACCCTGGCTGAAAGTTAGCATTTGTTTCATCCGAAATTAATATATTTTTTGAATGTCATGAATGGTCACATTTTCACATGTGCTCATGTGTTAGGATGTCTTGTTTTCTGTTCCCACCAGGTGGCGCTAGTGGAAAATGAGATGCGGGAGTTGTTGAGAGAGACTGAGAGCAACAAACGCGCAATGGAGGACAAGCTCAAACATTTGACACATGCCCTCGGGGACCTCCAGTCTGACCTCTTCTGAGGTGAAGGTCAGCAGCCGTGATGAACTTGGAACAAGAATGCACCATCTGTGTTACAACTAGAGACTGAATCATGTGATGGGTGTTCTGCACCAGCTTTGTCTGTTTCCTTGCTAAGAATAGATCCAGTAGATCTAGGTTTGTGAAAGGTGTATGACCTTGGACACCTGTAGCGTGCCACCTTCTGATGCTTGAAAGCCACAACATTATCCAATATACTTGGAACAGTACTGTTCTTCCACACCATCTAGAGATCCGGGGTAGAATCGGTCTTCAGCAACCCATGCTTGCTGTAAAAGGCGACTATGCTTGTCGTAAAAGGCGACTAACAGGATCCGGTAGTCAGGCTCGCTGACTTGGTTGATGCATGTCATCGATCCCAATTGCGTGGATCGATGCTCATGATATTAATCACTTGATTGTCTGGTCCAGACTCGATTATTTACAGACCGCCATCATATAGCTGGAATATTGCTGAGTGCGGCGTTAAACAACAAACAAACAAACCTGGTTAACCAACCACACCATCTAGTTGAGGAATATTGCCGATTGTAGTATTACACAGCAGACAAACAGCCTTGTGATCCACAGGATAACTGCTCATCCAGGGTTGATGTAGAGATTTTACTGCCACTTCCATCAACCTCACCCCTGGATGACCCTTTAAACATTGCAGTGAGTTTTGTATTAGGTTACACCGGTTATAGCCATATTCAGGCAATGTCATGTCAGGGGACACCAGAATTGGCTCCACACATTGTACCCATGTGGGGAATTGAACCTGGGCCTCCAGCTTAACAAGCAAACGCTGTAACAACTGGGCTACACCAACAATTGTTAAAATAGAAATGTAAGAAAGTTACATTACAAAAAGTGTGGACTTAGAATTGAAGATAGTGTCTGCCTATTGAAGATAATGTCTGCCTTTAGAATTGAAGATAGTGTCTGCCTATTGAAGATAGTGTCTGCTTATCGAAGATAGTGTCTGACTATTGAAGATAGTGTCTGCCTGGTCAGCTTGTAACACTTTTCTCAGTTGTCAGATCTTTAATGTCATAACTAAATAATTCAAATAACATGTTTCTTATTATTAAGAAATAGAAGTGTTCACATTTTCAGATTTAGCCAAAAATTCTTTGTGCCAAATATTTCTGTACCAGTATATTTCATATACGGAGTGAATTTATTATTGAAGTTGCTCGATACAAATATAGAGTGGAAACAGGTAGCCCTGCTGTTAAGGTGTTCACTTGCTACAGTGAGACCAGAGTTTGATTCCCTTTGGTTTGGGGTGCAACTGTATTAAGAAAATGGCCACAATGGCAATGGTTCATTGTTCCCACCATGACAAAGTTGCTCAGTGATATTAAAGCAAACTTTGTGTATCCATCCATCCATCCATCCATCCATCCATCCATCCAATATGTTTCTATTCTGGAACTTAGAAATCATTTAAATGTCATCCTGCAGTCTTATACACACATTGACCAAGTGGTCCAGTGATGTCTTTCATCCCGCAGGTGTGCCAGAAAGCAATGATACTGGGTTCGAATCCTAGATATGCCCTGATCATGGTTCTGGGTTTGTCAGTATCGAACCGTGGTTCTGGTTTCATCAAAGCAGTCAATATCAAAGCCTTGAGCTTTCCTCCCACACTTAGCTGACAAGCTCAGTCACTTTTTCATAACATTGCTTTAAAGTGAAGATCGGCGGTAATAAAAAAAAAGGAGTAATTTTCTTTAATTTTCTTTTCATCATTTGGACTTTGAAAGAGCGGCACATCCGGAAACCTAGTAATAAACAAAATGTCGCCTTAACTGACAAGCTCAGTCACTTTTTCATAACATTGCTTTAAAGTGAAGATTGGCAGTAATAAAAAAAGGAGTAAATTGTATAATTTTTTTTCATCATTTGGACTTTGAAAGAGCGGCGCATCCGTAATCCAAGTAATAAAAAAAATGTCGCCTTAGCTGACAAGCTACGTCTCTTTTTTTATAACATTGCTTAAAACAGCCACATTGGGGTATTCTACATTCCATGTCTGAACACTCACATGATTGACTCGTGTTTTGAGATTGTTCAGGATTGTTGCTTCAGCTTTGTTAAGTTTTCTTCTGTTCAGTTCCTTGTTTGATTTGTGTAACTCAGTTCCAAGTGTTTCTTCACATTGATAGTTTCTTTAAGAAATATGAAGACCAAGGTGAACTTTTACAGTACATTGGTTAATTAAATTGAAAATGTCGATATATTTTTGCGTTATCATGTCTTAATATGAATTTATATATTTTAACACTATATTGTTGTATTGTTTGGATCTCAAACATTTAGAAGGACCCAACAGTTATGGATGAGAATAAGAATGTAAAAAGAATGATCGTCAAGACAGAAACTAAAAGTGATGGTTGTATTATATTTACCATATTTCCTCTAATAAGTACCCGTGCTTATTCTTTGAACAAACTTCCAAACTTGGTTGGTAGTGGAGTCGCGGTGGTACATAAGAGACGGCACTTTATGTTTCAACAATGGTCTTGACTAAGCTACAGTCAGCAACAAATTTATCCCAGGACTGAAACAGGATCCCATAATGTCCGTCCAAGGCGGTAATCTGCGATTCTTTCCATGTGGAGCTAAAGACCGGAAGTGCTAAAATGGGACCTTTTGTTTCTGAACGTTTATTCATTCGAAGGAGAACTAATTTAAATCCAATATCCCTGGTGCTTATTGTGTCATTCGCTGCTTCATACGCGACTCGGCACTTATCGGAGGCTGGCATCTATGAGAGACTCATCACTTATGAGAGGAAATATTGTAATTTGACAAATAATGTAGACTGGTTACATCAGATTTATTCTTTGTCCACACGTTAAGGGTCTCTAACATTTGCAGATGAATCATAACTGGCTCTGAAATTAAAGGTGGACTGAAAATAAAGAATTATGAATGTATTCTATACTTTTCTCCATTGTAAACTAATAATCCAAGTTATACAATTAGATTGGTCTTAGTTGTATTAGATTTTACTTCTGTTGGTTCACAATAAATACCTCATTCCACTTGTATGTTGTTTGTTTGTTGGTGCCAGCTTGCTTTGTACAACCATAAAACAAAACATTTGTCCAGGAATATCCTGTTAAAACACAGAAAAACTGCATGAAGACACAGATAAAATACAGCTGTTTCAGTCTGACAGTTATTGAAAATTGTCTTTGTCGTCCTTATAAATATGATTTAGAAACATATGAAAGAACATGAATGAAACACATACATGTCTTTTTATTTGACCAGACAAGTATATTTTATGCTTCAAAATTACCAAAAGAGATAGGAGACCAATTTAATTACAGTCATCTTCAAAATAATGCCCTAAACACTACTGTGGGATAATCAATAGCTCCCATAAATCTCTTTGTTTTATAGTTCCTGCTCATTTTGTCGCCATCTGCAACATGGAATACGGTAATAAACACAATACAGAAATAAATATTTTGAAATTATTCTTTTCATTTTATTCACTCCAGGAATTTCTTCAGGTAAAGTTTGTAAAGCAGGAAATTTAATTGCTCTGGATGATCAAAATTATTTTCAGTATTGGAGCAGCTCTGTGACACAAGAACATTAATTTTCCTGCCCTTAACAGTTTTATTTTATGGATGCAATAGTCATCTTCTCATATTAGGATACATACAAGTACCAGATATATTTCAGACACATACTGCAGTATATGAACAAAGCGAAGTTCTGGATCGCGGTGAGGCTTTATTCCAGGGGTGCTGGAGAACATATTTTACTGCCGCTTCAGTCAACTTCAGTGACCGCTATATTCTAAAGAAACCAACATTTTGATGGTACAAGGAGTCTATTTTCACCTAATACACAATGTGTTCTCATTATGTTTAATGTTTACTGCTCAAACAGTAATTAGGGTTAATGGAGTGTTCTGTTAATCACGCTTCAGACGTGGGATGTTGAGAACACCTCCAACGGGTAGTTCTTTTTTGTCGTTGGCCCAGACAGGTCGAACTGCTGACTGTTGCCTACGTCTCCGTTGCTGTTGTAGCCGGGGTGGTGCTTTCGGTCCGGCTCAGGACGTTGGAGATTATAGACACGGGCAGATGATGAATATGCTTTATGTTATGATGTGGGTGGATGCTGTTGAGGAAATAACCTGAAGAAAAGAGCATATCCTCCCTCCTCAACAGCAGCACAAGAAGTCAGGTATTTATATAAACATAGTTCTACAAAGCCATTTTATGACCATATTAAAAACTTGTAGTAATTTGAAATTAAAGTGATATAATACTTGAAAAAGCATATGGGCCAAAATCGACCATGTGGTTAATTGTTTTACTAATTAGTTTTATAATATTGATATTTCATTTACTATTTTAATATTACTTTAAAAGATATTATATATAATATTCAATTTAATTCAGCACCCTAATAGGTATTAATTACTGACAGAGGCAGGTGAAAACAGATTGAAAAGTGGAGATTCCATACCTAAAGAAAAGATGACATCCTTCCTCCTCAACGGCAGCACATGAAGTGAGGTGTGTGAGAAAGTTTATGCTTTACGTCACATCGGCAATATTTCAGCCCATTCGTGACTAACTCGTGTTATTCCGGGACAAGCCGAATATCTTCTTGCAGGTTACGGAAAGGGGCGAGTGGTGACGAATGTATTTCAGCCATATCGTGACGAGGATGAAGTGAGGAGGAAGTCAGGTATAGAAGGAAGCTACCTGTAGAGGACCAGGGTGGCCAATTAGAGGCTAGATTGCATTAAGCATCAAGTGCTTATGCAAGATTTAAATAAGACTGAGGGAAGCCCTACAGGTGTGAAAAAATGTCTACAGATAAACAGAAAGTTGAAGGGGGAGATCTAGTGAGAGATTCCCTGACACTGAAAATAAGAGTCTTAAGTACTTTAAAGACTTATTTACTGGCATACAACTGTAGTTGGTGGGTTTGGTTTGTTGTTTAACGCCGCACTCAGCAATAGTCCAGCTATATGACGGTGGTCTGTTTATAATCGAGTTTGGACCAGACAATCGAATGACTGACATCATGAGCATCGATCCACGCAATTGTCGATGGCTTGCATCAACCAAGTCAGCGAGCCTGACCACCCGATCCCGTTAGTCGCCTCTTACGACAAGCATAGTCGCCTTATACGGCAAGCATGGGTTGCTGAAGACCTATTCTATCCCGGATCTTCAGATTGACATGCAACTGTAGACAAGACAAACAATGAACATATAGATGATTATGATGATGTATGAATAATTATGTAAATAACATAAATAAAGGTAACAAATGTCCCTGCTACACTGTCAACGAAATGGGGACAATTATTAAACAATGAATGAATC